TTCATTCCATTTATACTAACAAAATTATACATACAGTACTGTAATTGAAATTTTACAGAATGATAAAGGCAATTTAGCAACTTTGTTAAAATGCACATGGGGGAAATACATGAAAATAGGTTAATATTGTTTGTAAGGTTGATGGGAAATGTTTATTACTTTTATGATTTAAAAGATGTATAGCCCTGATACTCCATCCTGGGTGCATTCCACCAGGTAATGACCACAGCAAAAGTTTTCCACGAGGCTCTATTGTCACACAAACTTTTCACATTTTCAAACTTGATTCATCTTCCCCCCCCCCCCCCTCGTTCCAGGGGTTTTCTTTAAAAGGTCTTCATGCAAATGCCTTGGTTTCTCACAAATGATGACCTCTGAAATGCTATCACCTGCTAACTCCTTGTTGTGTATCCAAATTAATAAAAACTTTTTAACATCCTCAAGTGTTTGTGTTCTTTGTTTCGGGATTGTTGATATGCCTTTTGCCACTTTAATGCTCATAATGTCCTTTTTCTTAGCAAGTATAGTGCATATTGTTGACATAGATTTGTTGTACTGCCTAGCTAGTTCAACAACTTGTGCACCATTTTGATGTTTATGAATGCTCTCGTTTTTCCTCTATGGTCATTCTCACATGTGTTTTCTTGGCTTGAACCTTACCACTGGCTTTCTTGGGACTCATGGCAAGATATATCATAACAAATTTTATGTTCATATAGCCAAAAATCCCAAAACAAATGTAATGCTTTACAAAGAATTCAGGCGCGATACTTACTAGGCAGGAGACACTGGTAAACTGAGGCGCGATCACCATGCCACCACGCGCTAGGTCAGCCCATACGTATATCAACAAACTCCTTTCCCGAGGCAAAGTTTGTAACCCGATTCAAATTTTTCGAAGAAATTAGGCTCGTAACCCGAAAAGTTCATAAATATTCATTCGTAAGCCGAGGTGTCACTATATATAACTAAAAAATTAAACTCAGGATTACTTTTAACCCCCACCCCTTTTGCTCTACTCCATCGCCACCTACCTTCACCCCCCTCTATGATGTACTCTTCCATAGACACCTACCTTTGCCCCCCTCCTCCCCTCTACTCCTCCATCATCACCTACCTTCACACCCCCTCCCTTCTCCTCCTCCATCGTCACCTTCCTTTCACCCTCCTCTATGATGTACTCTTCCATAGACACCTACGTTCACTGCATATAATGCTCCCCTCTACTCCTCCATCGTCACCTACTTTCACCCCCCCTCCGCTCTACTCCTCCAGGGTCGCAGACAATTTCACGAGCGTGAGAACTACGAGTTCTCTAACCACTCTCACACTCCTACTCTCTCACCAGTGAGGGGGAGGGAAGGAGGGAGGAAATGAAGGAAGAAAGGTGGGGGAGAGAGAATAGGCAGGGGGGAGGAGGGCCTAGATACATTTCTTCCATATAGATAGGTAGACTGAGGGAGAGCTGCTTGCCAAGAGCCCTATCAGACAGGCTTCCTATTCCTCAACCCTCCCTAATATGCCACATCCTGGTCAGGACAACTTGCTCGATTGTTATTCTTGGTGTGACTCGAGAACTGACCTCGAGGCGGGGCATGGGCATGGATTATCTCCCTGGGGCACGCACCTCCCTGCCCCAGCTCTCTCTCTCTCTCACATAATCTATCAAGGGTCTAACATGAGGTCATTGTGCCTACCAGAAGTGTATATGTCCAAGGCTGGCCACCTGTCTGGACCATTCAAATGTATAAACACGTAATTAGTCTATTAAAATTATATATAGTGCTACAATTATAAATTAATTTGTTCATGGTCATTCGTTTATCAGTATTTTAATATGAGGTATATATACGCATGTATGTATACGTTGACGTACACATATATGATTATGTGTATGGAATGATTATGATTATGTGTAATCATATATGATTATATCTAATGGAATGCATTAGTAAGTGATGTGGTGGAGGCTGACTCCATACACAGGTTCAAGTGTAGATATGATAGAGCCCAATAGGCTCAGAAACCTGTACACCTGTTGATTGACGGTTGAGAGGTGGAACTAAAGAGCCAGAGCTCAACCCCAGCAAGCACAATTAGGCGAGTATATGAACGAATGCACATGTACACTTTCAAATGAATTAAGATACCTTGAGATACACAATGACTTAGTTTAAATAGTTTAAACACATTATGGTACTGATTTTGACATGCTGATGTCTGGAAGGGAGAGGGGGTGTGGGGGGTTATTGTCTGAGGTGGAGGACCAGAGGAGGGGGTCAGTGGAAGGATGGTGGCTGGAGGGATGCCATTGTTCTAATGGTTATGAAAACAATTATTGATGGCAGGAATTCAGTGGGTGTGTACTTCACCCGCACCATCACCATACTGTGCCCTGCTACAACCCCCCCCCCACTCCACCCATGCTGTGCGGGGCGTATTACACATTATGGGATAACCGACTGTCTGTCCATTCCTGTCTGCTGCCCTTCCTTTTGAAAATTGTCTGCTTTATCGACTTCCTTCAAGACTACACGTTAGCCTCTTATCACGCCCTCTTACCACTCTCAGGGAGCCGGCTCTTCTATACAATAGTTACCACTCAGTCCCCAAGGTGAAAGAGTGTCCGGGCATATGACTTGTTACGTGTACTTATTTGCGATTCGTTTGGGCTGTCACGTGTGGTGATTAGTGTTGGGTAAGGCTAGGCCAGGTCAGGTCAGACTAGGCTGGGTAAGGCTAGGCCAGGTCAGGTCTGGTCAGGTCTGGCTAGGCCAGGCTACGCAGGGTGAGAGAAGTAAAGCGGCAGGTACTTACGTTTCCGAGAAAGTAGCGGCGGTAGTATATTGTTGATTTAGATTCGACGACATCCTGAAGCTAGTAGGTGGCGGCCTCATCGCTCTCGAACTTCTTGTTGTTGTAGGGGATACGAGGCACACCCAATATCCCCCTTACATTGATCACATCGCACACTAATATTTTTACTATTTCGGACACCAGATTTGTCTGTTTCGTATATGTATAATTGTTCAATATTAAAACCACAATAGAATGCTCTTAACAGTTACAATTTTCAACTTAACAGCCATATAGTTGGCAAGAACGCCGCCCGCCAGTGCAAATGTCTCAGACCCTGTTGGAATATAACCAGTCTGTCAATCGGGTCAACCCAAGTGTTGCGTTTCCATGCGTTTCCAAAAGGGTCGCCCATGTTGGAATCGGTGAACGCCCTAGTAATATTGTTGAAAACATCTTAATAACTTATTAAACCAAAGGTCTTTTTATGTCAGAAGAACGGCAGAAACTAGATCTATATATGAAAACTCTTTCAGGACAAAATTTATACCGTTGACAGTAGAAGTGCCACAGGGTAGCATATTGGGACCTCTCATGTTTCTTATATACATCAATGATTTGCCAAACGTTTCCAACATTCTTAAACCTATACTATTTGCTGATGATACTACCTTCATCTATTCTAACCCCAATCCCCCACACACACACTAAATAATATTGTCAACAATGAATTAAAAAAAAGTCCACTCATGGATGCCTACCAACAAACTTACACTAAACACAGAAAAGCCCTACTACATTTTATTTGGTAGTAAATCATCAAATCAGATTCAACTAAAGATAAACAATGTTAACATTACCAATAAAAATGAGGGAAAGTTCCTTGGCCTATAAATAGACAAAAGACTTAACTTCAGCATCCACATATAACACATAGCCAAAAAAAAAAAAAAAAGTCTAAAAAATGGTCAGTATACATTCTAAGATCAGATATGTTCCAGACTCTGCTCTCCTCTCGTACTATGCACTAATCTATCCATATCTTACATACGGTATCTATGCATGGGGTTCAACCACTGCAAATTACCTCAAGCCCATCATCACTCGGTAAAAATCTGCTATCAGAACTATAACAAAACTGTTTTCAGGCAACACACAGCCCCTCTGTTTAAGTCCCTTAACATGGTAAACATACATTCACTCCACACATTTTCATGTGCTATCTACATGTACAAAACTTTGTTCCTAAATGGTAATCTTGATAGGAAACTTTTCCTTGATAGGTGTAATAGAACCCCATGAGCACTACACCAGAAATAAATATTGCTTTGATATCCCCAGAGTCAGACTAAATTTGTGCAAAAACTCCATGCAAATAAAAGGGCCCAGTCTTTGTAACTCACTCCCCGATGAAATAAAAAAAAATGTCCAACCAATATCTTATTCAAAAGTAAAATTAAAAGTACCTAATTTCATCCTCATAGTTTCCCACCTTGTGCTTCAAACTCACACTGTATCTTGTACTACCCACTTCCCCAATATTAGTATTTAAGACATACAGTATATCCTTATCAGTGTAATCACCTCTGTCAACTTATATTTTAATATTTAAGATATGCAAGTTCACCCAAAACACTATGCTTGTTAGTGACTTTGCAAAACTGTAAAAATACCAATATTATGTATCTCACAAACCCCATTGTACCTTCTAGTCAGGTGTGGGGGGGGGGTAGAAATAGCCTAAGCTTCTCTATCCCTTTGAGGTGTATTTTATTGTCTCAATAAATGTACTTGAACCTGAACCATCTTGTAAATAAATTATTACAATTATATTAAACACCTGCCCAAAAAGCTATGTGTGTTAGTGGTTTTACAAGAATGTAAGAACACCTATGTTATGTACTCTCTCAACCCAATGTATCTTCTTGTATATAAATAAATAAATCAATAAGTAAATTAGTGTGATTAATTCTAATCCTTGTAGGCGATAACAGTTGTGAACGCAATCTAGCGCACAGGTATATGAGCGCCCAAAATACTTTTACACAAAAGATATGTATAGACAGGCGTGTGTGGCTTCTGACTTCATTTTTATTGACTAATATTACATATTAGGCACTTACCTTTAATACTAATTATTATATGCAAGTATAAATGTAATAGGAATGTACCCCAAAACTGGTCAGTCTTGTGTTTTGTGCGTTCGATCATGTTTGTGGGCATACGGATGTGTTGTGTTTACGCTGGCGGGCGGCGTCCTTACCAAGCCCGGATTATGTCCATAACATCACTAAACATCATTTAATAACTATATGCCTGTTAAGTAGAAGATTTTAACTAGTGTCCGAAATGGTAAAACTATGTGTGTGCGATCCGTCCTCTGTACCAAGCGTGTAATATCCTACTCCAGTTTCCCAGGACAACGCCTGTCACCGAGCAACGGCCTCGTAGTGCATTTCTCTGCCGTAAGGCATAGTTTTTTTGTCTGACTGACAATGTATAGCATCCAAGCTTAAGAGTATTTTCTTGGCTGACCGAAGCAACAGGGGTACATACGACCCTGTGCTGTCCCTAATCCTACGACCACCACCATGAGGTAATGGGCTTACACCATCTCCCCGGTTCATAGAATTAGTCTATAGAATTAAAGTCTCCCAGTTAGGCAAACTTTTTACACTCATTAGCACAACATCTCTCAAACTATGCCACGAAGAAATATATTTAGAGGCTGATAAGGGGGAAGAAACTTTGTTTAGTTTAGTTCATTTGTTATGCACCCCATACCCATCCCTGCGGGCTGTAGTGGAAAAAAAGGCACATAATGGGCTCGGGAACTGAACCCCAAAATTTTATTTAGCTGAGCATTTTAGTCTTGATAAGCTAATTACACAGTTTAATATATCTATTATTATATATATAATGGGTTCAAGACTGACTACAAGTAGTCTCTGAGCTAAGCAATTTCCATATGTATGAACTAGATTCATAATTTGAGATATATATATATATATATATATATATATATATATATATATATATATATATATATATATATATATATATATATAATATTTATATATATATAATATATAATATTTATATAAAATATTATATATAAAATATAAAAATATAAATAAAATAAAAATATAAATATATAATAAATGTTAGAGAAATTGTTCACGATCTTTTGTGTGACCAAAATTGCAATGCATAATTACCTAAGTATAGTTACAGGATGAGAGCTACGCTCGTGGTGTCCCGTCTTCCCTGCACTCTTTGTCATATAACGCTTTGAAATTACTGACGGTTTTGACCTCCACCACCTCACCTAACTTGTTCCAACCGTCTACCACTCTGTTTGCGAAAGTGAATTTTCTTATATTTCTCTGGCAGCTTTGTTTCGTTAGTTTAAATCTATGACCTCTTGAAGTTCTTGAAGTTCCAGGTCTCAGGAATTCTTCCCTATCAATTTTATCGATTCCTGTTACTATTTTGAACGTAGTGATCATAACGCCTCTTTTTCTTCTATCTTCTAGTTTTTGCATATTTAATGCCTCTAACCTCTCCTCGTAGCTCTTATCCTTCAGTTCTTGGAGACATTTAGTTGCATGTCATTGCACCTTTTCCAGATAATTAATGTGCTTTTTAAGATATAGGCATCATACAACCGCTGCATATTCCAGCTTTGGTCTAACAAAAGTCAGAAACAATTTCTTTAGTATTTCTCCATCCATGTATTTAAAAGCAATTCTGAAGTTAGAAAGTGTAGCCCTCCTCGCACAATGTTCTTAATGTGGTCCTCAGGTGACAGTTTTCTATCTAAAACCAACCCTAGATCCCTTTCTTTGTCAGAATTCTTTAAAGATTTTTCACATAATTTATAAGTTGTGTGGGGTCTATGTTCTCTTATTCCACATTCCATAACATGGCATTTATTCACATTAAATTCCATTTGCCAAGTGTTGTTCCATATGCTTATTTTGTCCAGGTCTTCTTGAAGGGCATGACAATCATCTAGGTTTCTTATCTTCCCTATTATCTTAGCATCATCAGCAAACATGTTCATATAATTTTGTATTCCCACTGGTAGATCGTTTATGTAGACAATGAACATTACCGGTGCAAGAACTGAACCCTGTGGTACTCCACTCGTGACATTCCTCCAATCCGATAACTTGCCTCTGATTACGACCCTCATTTTTCTGTCAGGAAATTTTTCATCCATGTTAGAAGCTTACCTGTCACCCCTCCAATATTTTCCAGTTTCCAGAACAACCTCTTATGGGGAACTCTGTCGAAAGCCTTTTTTAGGTCCAGATAGATGCAGTCAACCCAACCATCTCTTTCCTGTAAAATCTCTGTGGCGTGATCATAAAAACTGAGTAAGTTCGTTACACAGGATCTTCCAGATCGAAAACCATACGCCCTGTCTGATATTATATCGTTTTTCTCCAGGTGTTCTACCCATTTAGTTTTAATTATTTTTTCCAATATTTTGACTATTACACTTGTCAATGATACAGGTCTATAATTAAGGGGGATCTTTCCTGCTTCCACTTTTGTAGATTGGAACTATGTTAGCCTTTTTCCATACATCAGCTACAACTGTAAACAGGGATACCTGAAAAATCAGTTGAAGTGGAATGCTGAGCTCAGGTGCACATTCTCTCAGAACCCATGGTGAAACTCCATCTGGGCAACTGCTTTGTTCTTACTTAGCTCCTTGAGCATTTTTTCCACTTCGTCTCTAGACACCTCTATGTGCTCTATGTTGTTCTCTGGAATTCTTATTGTATCTGGTTCCCTGAAGATTTAATTTTGTACAAACACACTTTGGAACTTTTCGTTTAATGTTTCACACATTTCCTTTTCATTTTCTGTGAATTTATTTCCCATTTTCAACCTCTGAATATTATCCTTTACCTGCAATTTGTTGTTTATGAATTTATAGAATCGACCTGGTTTTACATTTGTCTGCAATCCCTTTTTCAAAATTTCTTTCTACCTCTCTCCTCACTGTTGTGTAGTTGTTTCTCTCATCTTAGTACAGTATCGCTGGTATGTTTGGGGGTTTGGCCTCTTCCTGTATTGATTCCATTTTTGTGTCTTTTGGTCTCTGGCCCTCTCGCAATTTCTGTTGAACCAATCCTGCTTCCTAGTTCTGCATCTCTGTTTTGGTATAAATTTTTTTGTGCCTTTATCATATATTTCACAAATACATCTTGACATACATCTCATTCACTTCCTTCCCTAGCAACAAGTCTGTCCAATTATACTCACTAAACAATTTCTAAGGTCGCCATAATGTCCTCTCCTGAAGTCAGGATTTTCAACTGTTTCAACCTACTTATTTTCTTCCAGATTATAACGCACTGCATACTTTATTCCCAAAAAGACATGGTCACTTTTACCCAAGGGAGGAAGGTACTGAATGTCAAATATCTCTTCCTCCTTCCTGGTAAATATCAAATCTAGCATGGAGGGAACGTCCCCTTCCTTCATCCTCGTAGTTTGTTTAACATGTTGATACAAGAATGTTTCCAGGATGAGGTATACAAATCTACAGGTCCGAAAATCTTCAGTTTTAGCTTCATATGCTTCCCAGTCTATGGATTTCAAGTTGAAGTCGCCAACTATCAACAGTCGTGATCTATCCTTATCCGCTCTCACTATAATCTCTCTCATTATTGTTATAAGACCTTTTCGTTTACTATCTAGCTCCTCCTTTGACCATGTGCTGCTTGGCGGTGGACTATATGCATTTATGATCATTAGTTTATCATCCTTATGGCAGATCTCTTAGTGCTATTATGTCAACTTCTTGTGGATTGGCAGTCATTATTTCGTTAACTTTTAGGTGTTCTTTCACCAGCACTGCAACGCCACCGCCTTTCCTAATTTTTCTGTCCCGTCTCCAAATTGAGTAGCCCCTTGGGAATATGACCTCATTTATAATAACATCTTCAAGTTTTGTCGTGAGTGCAACAGTGTTTGGTGTCTGCAGCTGTATTACATCACTTAACTCCAGTATCTTCGATCTCACTCCATCTATGTTGGTGTATGCAATCTTCAGGAATTTGTTCCCCCTCTCCTTATTCTTCACTCCCCCCTCTCTCTAACGATTTTGTTGATTTGCCTTTATGTACCACTTTACTGGTCTGCCTACCCCTATCACTTTGTAGAAAAAAGAATTGATTTCTTCTTCATTCCTGCTCTCATTTAAACGTTTTGCCTCGGCGAGGTTCAGTTTCAGCTTCTCTCTGTCTTCTTTTGAAAGATCTCGTCTTAACGACCTCACTTTCCCATCCTTATCACTTAGTAATTTTCTAGCATTCCTTAGTACTTCTTCCATCTGTTTGGCACCGTTTAGGGTGATCCTCAAAGGTCGATCTTTTCCTTTTACGTATCTTCTTATTCTCCTGTAGTCGCACACATTCTCTATGGTAGTAAGACCTTCCACGAGGCCAACAATTTTATCTACTACTTTCGCTTCTTCTACGGCTCTTTCTGACCTAGAAGTTATCTCCTTTTCTTTGCAACCAAAAATTATCAGGGAGTTACTTCGATCAACTGTGTTTTGCACCAACTTCGGGTTAGATGTCAATTCCTTTCTCACTTCCAGCCTAATGTTCGTTTTATCTTGGTTGCTGCAGTGTTTGGCTTCCTTTACGTTTTTTTTATACGTTTATGTCCTTTATGTGTAGCGGTTGTATGGTGCCCATATCTCAAGAAGCACATCAACAAACTGAAAAAGGTGTAAAGCCATGCAAAATGTCTTCTGGAACTGAAAAACAAGAGCTATGAGGAGAGGCTAGAAGTGTTAAGTACTGTATGGCAAAGCTAGAAGATACAAGAAAAAGTTCAATAAGTCACAATGCATCACTATTGGGGCGATATGATCACCAAGTTCAAAATACTGACTGGAATCTACAAAATTGACAGAGGAATTCTTGAAACCTGGAACTTCAAGTACAAGATGGCATAGATATTAGCTAAAGAAACAAAATCTGGTGAAAAACATTGGAAGGTTCACCTTTGCAAACAGTAGTAAACTGTTGTGTGAGGTGATGGTGGAGTCCAAAACCACAATTAGTTCAAAGGCATCATATGACAAAGAGTACCTGGAAGACAGGACACTTAAAGATTAACTCTCATCCTGTAAATACACTTAGGTAATTACATGAAATGGACTCTGTTATCATCATTAAGTTTTATTGTATTTGTTTCTAGCCACAGACACGACAAAAAGATACTCTGGACTCGGCAAATGGAACAAATGGTAGCCAGCATGCAGTGGACGCCTCCCAATTATGTAGAAAAATTTTGCAGGTACAGTACTAAATTTTGGTACAGTAATACTGTATTGTGCTTTCTGTTGGGTTTCTGCGTATGTTTAAAGCAGCTTCCTTTATCATTCTTTTCCAGAAATTGTTTGTTTGGGTGCTGAATTTGCTATTTTCTTTTATTTTCAATCCATAACCAAAACCCAACTTAGTCAAATTGTACATGAACACTTCACATTCCATCAGTTCAGCACACAAATAGCTTCGTTCACAGTAGATTTTGTATATAGGAATCTTTTTGTATGTACTATACGGTATATATGTGTGTGCGTGTTCCTGGGGAAAGCATAGGTTGGTAGTAGTCGAGTGAATTATCTCCTGATTATAGGGGCCATTAATATCCCAAACTTTAGTACCCCTAAGAAGGTGTAGTTGGCTGTCTATGGCATGTCGTTGGCTGTCATAGATGGTATGCAGTAACACTACCACCTTGCTGGTTAAGGATTTTTATGTATTTTCTTAGGAAGCCATCAGGGATGATTTCTGTCACCAAGTCCAAAGCTTGAGCATGTGTGGGCTGGGAGATTTGGGTAATTGTGTTTTTGCTTTGGGTCATATTTCATTATAAAATTAGTAAAGTAATCCAAGGAATATTAGGTTTATTCACGTTCTACATTCATTGCCAATATTTCTGTATGAAAATATTTTATATGTTTTGTTTTTGTGATTGTGGGTCATGTATGGATGTTGGGTATGTATTACTTGATGCATATCAGGTAATTTTGTATTTATATGTTTTATAAGGCTGCATTGTACTGTATATTCATTTACAAACTTTATTATGCACAGTGTGGCAATTTATCAGTTAATGTCTTACAGTTTGCATCACAATTAATACATAAGAGGCAGTTTATATTTTACCATCTGGAAGATTCAGGTTGGTTAGCTAAACTTGAATGAAATACTAAACTATAGAGTTTTCTGGAAATAAAATTAAACTACAATCTATTTAATATATATCCTAATCTTACTGTTGATAACAAAGTACTGTAATCTTAAATAATTACATCTTCTATTCTTGTTAAACCACTCTGTGAGTCATAAGAACTTATTAATCTGTACTATATTTTGTCATTAAGTTGCTGTATCTTAGTATGTGTTTGTCCTGCTTTATGATATATGAGGCCTGGGTCCCCTTCTTTCAGGCTCCCCTCTGGCACTCTAGGCCTCTTGAGTGAATTAATGTTTTACATGACCTATATAACCATTTTATTTCCTACTGTTTTTGGAGGCATCAGAAATTTAATACAAGTTATGACATTAAACAGGACATACCATTCAATTTAGTTTGCTTACAGTTGCTTACAGTATTGCATTCTAGTTATTCTTGTACCCATTTATTTACAGTTGTGAAGTTGAGGTGGTTGAGTTCCAGAGCTTGGAGCTGCTCTCCCTCTACACTTGCATGATGGTGAAGCGCTACACCAAGAAACCTGGTCACTTTCAGGTAAGTCCCTTGGCAAGATATAAACAGGGATCTGTTAATCAGGTAAAATGATGATATAGTACGTACAAAATGACTTTAATATCATTAGAACAATTTCAGTATTGGGCATCAATCATTTCATTGAATAAGACTCAATGGGATAAAGTGAAGTGGGGTTTCCCCAGTGTGTGGAGTTTCATGGTTTTCTCAACTCTATTTAATTGCACTTATCGCTTCATTTATATTTTCACAAATTATCCTCATGGCTGAGCAGACAGTCCTCGGGTTTGATTTCCGGTCAAGGCAGAAACAAGTGGGCAGAGTAATTACCTAAGTGTAATAATCGAAGTCCAGTTAAAAGATGAGAGCTAAGTTTGTGCTGTCCCCTTTTCCCAGCACTCTTTGTCATATAACACTTTGAAACTACTGACAGTTTCAGCCTACATAACTTTCTCACCTAACTTGTTCCAATCGTCTACCACTCTGTTTAGGGAGGTCATAGTTACTTGCCCGAAATGCTATGCGTACCAGTGGCTTTAGGTATTGTATGTACTAGCTCTATCTATAAATCCAACATTATGTTTGTAAATCAACTAAGTATGTACTTTCCTGAATAAAATTTACTTTACATTACTTTACTAATGGGTGAGTGGAGATTATTGAACGACTAAATTTTAACATAGTAAAGCAACAATCCACATTAACTCCGGACCTCTCTAAACATAAAAGTATTCCTCATACATTCATTATATTCTCCACACACAGTGATAAACAAACACCTCCATGGGGATATATAAACACTGAGAAATGTATCCTACATTCCAATGTGTGTATACACTGAGAGTTTACTTTAGGTCTGGTCTATGTGCAGAAGTGTACATACTGGCTGGCTAGTAAGTACTTGTGTGACCTTCATAACCCACCAGAGGTAGATAGACCTAAAGCCCAACAGTAAATCAAGCACAGTAACACTGCAGCAGTCATCCACAGCAGTGACCCACTGCTTCATCAGACCAGGTGTACAGTGACCCACTGCTTCATCAGACCAGGTGTACAGTGACCCACTGCTTCATCAGACCAGGTGTACAGTGACCCACTGCTTCATCAGACCAGGTGTACAGTGACCCACTGCTTCATCAGACCAGGTGTACAGTGACCCACTGCTTCATCAGACCAGGTGTACAGTGACCCACTGCTTCATCAGACCAGGTGTACAGTGCCTCTCGTGCTCTACCACACTCCAGCAGTCAGTGAGGTTTTATCAGTGAGTTTCACCTGATGCTCCCATTCACTTAGCAACAAATAGGTACCTGGGAGTTAGATAACTGCTATGGGCTGCATCCTGAGGATATATTTGTGTGTGTGTGTGTGTGTATTAGAGATAAATATATGTGGTAGATATGTTAAAGGAAAATGTCAGAAGTCAGTACTGTTGTATATTAGACAACCAACAGTTAGAAAGGTGGGGTCCGAGCTAACATCTTGATGGTACAGGCACAAATAGTAAATGCAAACATTAAAATAGTAAATACCACTGCCACAACCATCGCTACAAAGAGAACACCCATCTACTTTTGCATTACCCTGTACACTAACTGCAACACGTTCACTTGTTAAACCTTATACTCACTATATTGTCTACACTCATTTAATTACTCTGTTAAACTTGTTAGAGTTTAATATGTGCTGATCCTTGATACCTCTCTTGATGACACTTGGATCCTTTGGCATATTAATTTTTTGAACACTAAATGTAGGTTTTGTAATTTAAAAAATGAATTTCAATCTTTGTATTTCAGGCTAGTTTTCCAGAATTAATCGAATTAATTGAAAAGAACTTGGCCAGACTGAAAGTTGACAAGAAGTGGTTTTTTGCCACCATCAGAGATCAATCACGCCTCTATCATGATGAGGTATGTCAAAGAGATTTTATCTTCTTCCTCTGTATAGATTGGGCAACTGATCGTCTTGTAATTAATAGGTATGCCTGGTTGAGATACTTTATGGTTTTCACCAAATAGACATTCCCTAAGGTAATACCTTCCTTATGGTAATAAGAGAAGTGGGGGGTCTGAGATTAACCATAAAATCTAGGGAACCCCACCCACTTCTACAGTCTTTTCCCATTGGTTAGCCCCGACCAATGGAAGAATTACTTGAAAACTGCAGGTCTCTTCTATCACTGTAAATTAGCACTGAGAACTGGTGAAGCTCAGTAGCTCGGCTTCCCTATCCTATTACTTTCTTACCCAAGCTACCCCCTTACCTTGTTTTGCTGGAGAGATTCTGGGCTGTTCTTCTGGCAAGCAAGGATGGATCTCAAACCTGGTGCTTCTCCCTAAGGCAGTAATTCCCAACCTTTTTGTTTAGAAGAAATATTTTGTAAAATCTCAGGAAGCATCTTTCAGGCAGACAAATAGGCTCAGCAGGGGTATAGCTGCAGGGTTACTACAGTACTGTATAATAATAATAATAAACTCGTACAGTTGAATAAAATATTACTTGAGTATTTATTGTGTATTTCTGTTTACTAATTACTCTTAATAAAAAATGACAAACATTTTTACTTTACAATGAGCATTTTGTATATACAGTACAGTATTTTTGTTTATATAATTTTCTGAGGACAGCCTTGTCGGCTCCCTGAAGATATCCGAACTTATATGTACTCTATTAGTTTGTGGTCATCAGTCACATGAGTCCTTTTGCCTACTGGGGACCACGAGCCAAAACCTGGCCCCCCCTCAGAGCAATGGCGTATGAGCACTTTACTTTTAAAGTATGTCATAATTGCCATAACTACCATCGATCGGGAAGAGCTCCCAGAAATACAGGCAAAACAAAACAGACCACATTCTGGTGAAAATTGCAACCTACGTCTGAAAAGAGGAAAAGAACTCCCCCAGAAAGAAAACAACCAAGCAACACTTCATCCAATTAGCACTCAGGATTAGGCACCCTCGGGTGGCTTTAGTGGCTGCTCCATCTGATTCAAGTGTGGAGGTGGTTGAGCCTGATTTTCCCGCCGGGGCTTCTGGGTCATCCCAGTAAACTCCCTTCTTGGAAGCCTTTCTCCTGGACTCCGCCTTTTCTTCAGGGATGGTAAGTGTGGATGCAGGCTCTGCCCTGGGGCCTTTGGGGTTCATGGTTGTCTGATTTCACTTGGAGCTTTTGGGCTCCTTTTGACCCTTACTGGGCCCTTGTACCTTCTGGGCAGGGGTTATTGCTGCAGGGGAAGGGGTTTTTGTACTGTCCTTCCCTTTATGACTTAGTATTACCATATTTGCTGGCATGATTTATGCACCCTCGTGTCAGATGTATCCATCTTCTGCTTGGATGTTTTGTACTCTAAGAAATAAAAATAAAACATACCGACTATTTTTGTGTTCCATCATAAATTTATTACACGTTATTTTACGGTGCCTTTGGTATCCATGCTCTTGCCTCCTCTCCGTTCAATGGTTTTGTTGTTTATAATTTTGGCAAGAGTTTTGTTATACCGATTGTGAAACTTGGTTTTCTGGGTGTGATGTTTTGTGTTGCCACGACTGGCCCCTTGGTCATGGTGCACCATCCCAAAGCTGAGGTTTGTCATCATCTACTCCTTGCATATGGCTGCCGGGTAGATAAAAGTTTATCATTCCTTTCTAACTTTTTTTTTTTTTTTTTTTTTTTTAACCACTGTTCTTACTGGTACCTCAGTCGTTCCCTTATGTATGACATATCTCAGGCGTGGGTAATGCCAGTTCTGCTATGCAATAGGTGGGGAGGTACACGAATTGTGTACATCCTCGTCACTACCAATGTGTTGTCAGTAGTTTTGGCAAGTTTGTACTCATTATACTCATCTCGTTGTGCTAGCGGGGGATGTGCTTCGGCTCTTTAGGCCCACCTCTCGCCCATCATTCTCCTGGTGTACACATTCCGGAGCACTTTCATCTCTACATTTGATGTTGTGTGGGTGTCAGCCTGCACCACATCACTGCCTCTTGCATTCCCTCTCATTACTACTTTGCCCCTGAACAAGTTCTGTCTAATGTCTCTGTGGCTTCTTTGGGTACTTAGCTTCTGCCTGCATCCCCTTGTGCGTGTACTACCCGTGTTGATTCGTCCATCCTTTTCTACCCTGTTCGTTACCCTGACGAATTGTGGGTGGTGGTCATGTCACCCAGTCTTGTGTTCCCGGGGCAGTCTTGTCTTGTGTCCAAGACTATGGTACTTCTATACAGTATTCCCTCCTCTTGTGTTCGCAGACTGGTCAGTTGGTTGTTTTAATATTTTATTTTTCAGAATGCGGTTTTCGGTAATAATTTGGCTAGTTTTCATTGTTTTCTAATGGGCACCGATTTTGTGCCTAGCGACCTTGCCCTGTTTTCTTGTCCGGCTTCCTAACTTTCAATGCTCGGTCTTATCCGCTGGCAAATGCGATGGAGAAGACCGAGTCTTATCCGCCACATTTATGTCGGAGGATAAGTGTCTTATCTGCCGGCAAATGCGATAAGTAGGGTTCCTCTCCAGGTTTGTTTCCAGGTGCCCTAGGGTTCCTCGGATTCGTCTTTTCATAGGTTTTCCTCCTCTCGGACAACCCCTGTGGGGGGTTCGGTAGGCCCTTGGTGCTTACCTCCTGCGAGACTTGGTTTATGCCTCTGTGTTGAATCCAATTTTGTTTGAGTTCAGGCCCTCTATCAAGAGAAGAGTGCGTTCAGAGGTTCGAGTCCTCTTTCCCTGATCAGGTGCGTTCAGAGGTTCGAGTCCTCTTTCCCTGATCAGGTGCGTTCAGAGGTTCGAGTGTCTTCCTGGCTGGCAGCCTGCCTCGACAACTGGTTGGTGTGGGCTTCCTGCCGTTCTGTTTGTCTGCTATCCGGTGTTCTTGTTCTTTCCCAGCTTGCTGGTTTCGGGTTCCTGGTGACTAGCTGGAAGTCCAAGTCCATGGCTCTTTGTGGCTGATCACTTTAGGTAGCTCTTCTGCTGAGTTCTCGAGGTTTAGATCTCCGTGCCGTTCACATTCAAGACGTTCGTTCATTGACGTTGGACATGGCACGTTCATTCGTGCCGTGTCCAACGTCCTGGCAGACAGCCTGTCGTGCTTCATTCTTCTTTCCACGGAGTGGACAGTCGACGCCACCTCCTTCCTTTGGCTTTGTCGGACATACTGGCACCCGGAGGTGGACCTCTTCAGGTTGGCGTGGTCTCGGTATCTCCCATTGTACGACATGGCACCGTTCCCCGACTACGAGGCCCTTGCAGTGGACGCTTTTCAGCAGTACTGGTTGCGGTGGAGGTTCCTGTACCTCTTTACCCCAGTCCAACTGTTGCTCCTGGTTCTGGCTTGACTCAAATCCTGTCGGGGAAGGGTGATTCTCCTGGCCCCATGGTGGCTGGCCCAGCCTTTATTTCAGGCACTGTTTGCTCGGTGTTCGAACCCAGGTGTTTTTCCACGGCTCCGCCCCTTTCAGCAGGTCAAGCCAGTGAGGTACCTTGCTGGTTCGACTTAGTCTTCCGCTCTTCGCATCTGCTTTTTTGTGCGGGTGTATTGCCATTTGTATGGTGATCATGTGGCTTCTTTGATGGTGTCTTCCCTGTGAACTTTGTCTCAGCAATAGTGTGAAATTTCTTGACGGTCTTTCCGCCATTTCCTTTCTCTTTGTAGGGTTTTGGCTGGGTTGGTTAAGGTTGTCTTGGCTTTTCCTGGAACGGTGTCTTATGCCGAATATTGTCACTTCTTATTGTACAGCGCTGACAGAGCTGCTGCGGCTTGCATTCGGGGTTGATGTCACTTCTGCTCCGTTTCACAAGCTCTCGTCCATTTTTACACCTCTCTACATTTTTACAACCCCCTATTCTGGTAAACTATTGCAACCGAAGACCAAATAAGTGATGATGACGTCATGCTTGTTTGCTAATTTTCGTTTGGGGAGTTCTGTCCACTTGTTCGGTCTTCGGTCGCAATAGTTTACCAGAATAGGGGTTTGTTTTGGTGCGCCTACCTTTCTGGGTGCCTATCCCGATCAGTGGCAGACATAGAATGCTCCCAATCATAAGGGGTGTCTCTATATGCCATTGCTCCTCGTGCCTCTCTAGAGGGGGGGCCAGGTTCTGGCTCGTGGTCCCCGGTAGGCAAGAACTCTATGCATTGACTGATGCCAGAAAGTTATACATATCCATTCAGCCGGGATAGCTCCGGGGAGAATCCAGGACTTGCCCAGAAAATGGCGTTTCATTACATTCAATGCTGTTTTTTTTTTTTTTTTTTTTTTTTACACAGTTATAGAAAAGATGGCAGTTGTGCTTTTTTTTTCAAGCCAGTTTTTTCAAAATTTCCAGGAGCCCCAGACACAGACTTAACGAAACCTTAGTGTTCCCCAAACCCTGGTTGGGAATCGCCACCCCTAAGGCATGGCCTAATTAGTGCATATAGGGAGCTAATGAGGGCACTACCAAAAAAGTCATCTCATTACATTTAATATGTTATCCTTTAGTTTGTGTCTACATTGTTCTTATATACAGTATGGTAAACAAAAAAGGTCCGAGACAAGCGCCCAGGAGTAATCCCATTTGTTATGGTTCCCCTTCTTGGTCATGGTTCAGTGTCTCATCACCTAGCCTCTCCTGCCTGCTTCTCTTCCACATGTCAGTCTCTGTTCCACATGTCAGTCTCTCTTCCACATGCTAGCCTCTTCCATATGCCAGCCTCTCTTCCACATGCTAGCCTCTTCCACATGCCAGCCTCTCTTCCACATGCTAGCCTCTTCCATATGCCAGCCTCTCTTCCACATGCTAGCCTCTTCCATATGCCAGCCTCTCTTCCACATGCTAGTCTCTTCCATATGCCAGCCTCTCTTCCACATGCTAGCCTCTCTTCCACATGCTAGCCTCTCTTCCACATGCTAGCCTCTTCCATATGCCAGCCTCTCTTCCACATGCTAGCCTCTTCCATATGCCAGCCTCTCTTCCATATGCCAGTCTCTGTTCCATATGCCAGTCTCTGTTCCATATGCCAGTCTCTGTTCCACATGCCAATCTCTGTTCCACATGCCAGTCTGTTCCACATGCCGGTCTCTCTTCCATATGCCAGTCTCTGTTCCACATACCAGTCTCTATTCCACATGCTAGCCTCTTCCATATGCTAGTCTCTGTTCCACATGCCAGTCTCTGTTCCACATGCTAGCCTCTTCCATATGCTAGTCTCTGTTCCATATGCCAGTCTCTCTTCCATATGCTTGCCTTTTTCCCATATGCTAGCCATAGCTCCTTATGCTAGCCTATAATAATACAGTATTATAGTCCCTACTGTTCCTATCTTGAGATGTCAACCTTGAAATACCTTTCTTTATTGTCATCATGCATTCTTGCTGTATTGCAGGTTTACTCATAATGGCAAGCTTGTTATTTTTGTCATATTAATTGCAATTTTTGTGCTGTGGATTTCAGTGGGACACACACATAGCTGGAGTAAATTCTGGCCGTATTCGATTCAACTCTTATCTTCTGTTGGTGGCCTTGAGGTTGGGACTGGAAAAGCTTTGGGTACCTGATGGATGCTTGCCGTTTGAAGAGGATGTTATTATGGAGTTGAAAGAAATCTTTAGCCCCAATAAACCAAATTTTGCCCTTAAACAACTCAGCCAATCTGATCCCATGTTTGATTTCTTTGCCAACCACTCTCCAAACCTAGAAATTTTGTATCTGCCCCGTAGTGACATTTCGTCCTTCCAAAGCTGCGTCAAATTTACGTGAGTATTTTTCATAACTTTGTGCATAAAACTTAAATGCATTACAGTATTTTATTTAACAAATTCTGTGTAATAATTGTTACATTTTAGTGTTTTTTTAAATAACCTTTCATATTTATTAAATGTTGATATTTTTTATAATTATTTGGTATATTTTCAAATGTCTAAGTTTAAGGTTGGACCACTGCTGAATGCAGCTAGTCTAGGACTGGCATGCAAGCCACTCACAGTAATTATCAACAACATAAAATGCCTAGAGCAAAGGCACAAGATCCTGAGGAGATCTTGCCAGATATAGGTCTTGTCTGATTCCCAACTGGTGATACAGGGAAATAGAAATCGGTTCATCAAATTTATTTTGATCGGTGCTAGAATTTGGTGGACGATTCTTTTATGGGACTGAGCCAGCAAATTATTGTTGTCTTATGAGGGAGAAAGGATTTTCTGAAATACTATGTGCTTAACATCTAATTTATTAGACATAAAAAAAAATATATTTGCACATGGAAATGGGATAATTTTTTACTCTACGAGGGGTTATGGGCACAGTACTACGCACAGTACTGTCTCTTGCTGACAGTATTCAGGTAACATACACAACGTAACCTTAACACTTGTATAATTACCACCTCGGCAATAATGGCTGCCTCACACCACTGCTGTCGTATGCAAAAGGGACAATTTGGAGCTCAAAATTGATGTTCGGGACATTAAATTACATGCACGAATACATAGACTGACATTGGAATAACATTCACAAACATGTGCGCGGTCCAGAATGGCACTGTGTGTGGTGTCTCACTCTTTATGGGCTCACCAACTAAAGTCAAGGCCCTCCACCAAGCTTGCTGGGTATGCAATTAAGTACCACAAAATACTAGTCAATGTGTACACAATTACAAGTACTCTCTCTACAGTTACACCTCATGTATACAGCGCACTCTTCGTTGTCGGTGTATGGGAAGTCATACTCAACCAATGGGTAGATATCCTGGAGTCAAGACTAGGGCTTTCAAGGGTGACGGTGCTCAAGAGAGCTCATAGAAAACACTCGTCTGCTCCTTTTTTTACTGTCCTGAGAAGTGAAACAGAGGGGAGCTATGCGTGAAGGAGCCAGCTTGCATTCTCCTCATTTACATGAAAACTTAGACCAGCTCACCAATCAGAATGCAGTGTCAACCATATATAGGCCTCCTGGTTAGCTGGGCTGTGAACGTTACTAGGGTGGAGGTAAGAGATGGGGAACAGGCATGCAGCGACTGTTGGCTTGTGGTCAGGCAGAGCGACTTAAACAAGTACCTACCACACTCCACAGCCAACTTTGGGGAAGGGGAGATTCCCCAACTATGATCATACAGGCTAGTTGTACAAATTGCCCATCTAGTATAACCAGGCATCATATGTCAACAAACACATGAATTCTGAACTGCTGGCATGATTCCCAATCCACAGGCACCCAACACAACGGATAGATGAACTTAGTGCTAATACACAATACGCTGCTTGTGCAGAGCTGCTCAGCAGTCATAGAGTACAAGACAAGCTGTGAGGAACCTTTCTCTCACACTGTCTTACCTTAATTAAGTACCCATCCTCCTGAAATGATAGTACTTTATAGCAACAATTTGGTCAAATGATACCAATATATACTTTAGGGAGTGTAGGATTGCTTGGACAGATTAGTTTGGTTCTTTAAGTTACATTTTCAATTTAATAGAAACATGGGTTAATTCAGTAATACAAAACTTGAAATATTTGGACCACTGCTTCCCCCCCCCCCTCCACCCTTTCTGCTTTCTCCATACCCCTTCATCCCTCAATACCCTCCTCTCCATCCATACCCTCTCCCTCCTCTCTCCATACCCTACCCCCCTCCTCGCTCCATACCCGCCTCTTCCTTGCTCCATAACCTCTTCCTCCTTGCTCTATACCCTCCCCCCTCCTCGCTCCATACCCTCCCCTTCCTTGCTCCATACCCCTCTCCCTCCTTGCTCCATACCCCTCTCCCTCCTCGCTCCATACCCTACCCCCTCCTCGCTCCATACCCTCCCTTTCCTTGCTCCATACCCTTTTCCTCCTCGCTCCATACCCTACCCCCTCCTCGCTCCATACCCTCCCCTTCCTTGTTCCATACCCTCTCCCTCCTTGCTCTATACCCTCCCCTTCCTTGCTCCATACCCTCTCCCTCCTTGCTCTATACCCTCCCCCTCTCCTCACTCCATACCCTACCCCCTCCTCACTCCATACCCTCCCCTTCCTCGCTCCATATCCTCCCCCCTCCTTCCATACCTGCCCCACCTCCCTCCATACCTTCCTCCCTCTCTACTTCCACCACCACCCTCTTCTCTGAACCCCACCTCCTTCCTCCACCTATTTTGTGAAGACTGATAATAAATATGTACTTAATTCTTAAGAACTAAATTAATCATGTTAACAAGGATAAACAAAATTCAGGAATCTGCGGGTGATTGAACTGGCTGGGGGAGTGTCGGATAAAGTAATGTGTAGTGCCCTGTGGAACGTCAATAAGAAGAGCGACAAAGTGCTGGAGATGGCTATCAAGGAAGTTAAGGTGAGCAGGATGGGGCATTCTTATCTCCCTTCACCCTCTCTCCCACCTGCGTCCCTCATCAACCCTCTTTTCTTCCTTCATCCACTTCTCCTTTCATTTCTTTCTATATGTACTTACACCCTTTACCCCCTTCATTTTCTCTCTTCTTTATCCTCTCTCTTTCACCCTCTTCCTCTCCCCCTCTCTTTCCTTCACTACCTTCCCCCTTCAACCATCCTTCACTCTGCCCACGTATCCCCCCTATTTTTTTTGTTATGAAGTCTTTAAATTCACTCGTGTTAAATATGACTTATGTCATGAGGTTTTTTGTAGGAAGCCCCGTCTGTTCCCTGAAGCTATCCCAACTGATATAGTGCTATATTAGTTTGGGGTCATCAGTCACAGGCATTCTTATGCCTACCGGGGACCACGGGGCAGAACCTGGTCCCCTCAGAGAGGAGCAGGAAGCAATGGCCTATGAGCATTTTACATTTAAAGTACGCTGTATGTCATAACTGTCAACGATCGGGGAGGGCACCCTGAAAGACAGGCGAAACAAAATAGACCACGATCTGGTGAAAATTGCGACCTTCATCCGAAAAGAGCAAAAGAACTTCCCTAGGAAAGAAAACAAGCAACTGATGAGCCTTCATCCCACCACCCCAGTTCTTGAACTGATGTGCTGGCGGTCGGACGTCATCTCTGGCCTCAATTACTTGTTCTGGATTTTTGCCCCTTGTGGCTTTTCCAGCTGTGTGTGTGGTGTGGTGGCCAGGTGTCTTAGAGTACGGGAGCTGCATGCACCTAGGGCAACCTTCTCTAGGTGCTCCATAAGTACTGCCCTTGCCTGTTAGGGTTATCTTCCCTGGGACGTACAGGAATCACTCCCTGTTAGAGCACTTCATTGCTTGAGGTTGTCTTTGTCCTTGGGGGTATGTCAGGGGTCTTAAGCTTTCCGTCTTGCCCTGGGTAGGGGGAGTGTTATTAGCTGGGAGGGGCACAATGCGGCTGGCGCAGCTAGCTTTACTTCAACGCTGCGGCTGATGTTTCTCTCTGACTGCCAGTATTTGTTGTGTGTTTTGGGGGTTTTCTCTTTTTCTTGGCATTTTTTGCGTTTTGTGGACGGAGGAAGTCTGCCTAGCTTCTTATTAGGCTAGCTTAGGTTGTGTTGGTAGTCCTTCTCTGTTGACCTTGAAAGTTTTACTGCTGCTACTGTTGGTCAGTTTGCCTGCTATCTCACAGGGTTCTACTGGCTTACCTGGCCCCAGTGCCGGGGCTTCCTGTAGGGCTGATTCACCCTACGGGCCATGGAAACCCCCTGTGGGCTCGGTGGTACCATGGATACTTCTTCTGAGTCCACTCTCGCCTTGTGAGAAGTTGTAAGCAGTTCATCATCCCTGCCTCAGGGAGACGATCATCCGTACTGCCTCTGTCATGCTGCCTTTTGGGTCAGAGACACCATCGACCCCGAGTCTTGCAGGACTTGTTCCCCACTTGTGCTTCAGTTTTACTTAGCCCATATCTGATCTCAAGGATCAGGCAGCGGCCATGATGTATGCTTGATTCTTATTCGTGAAACGAGCCTGGTTTGTTGCTTGGTTGGAGGCCCTCCTGGAGCTGCCCCGCTTGATTTTAGGGACTTGGATTTGGGGACATTGGTCACTTCATCCTTGGTTCCGTCCACTTCCCGCTTCCTTCCCAGGTGGGCGTGGTTCGTCCTGCTTCCGGCTCCCAAACATCTGAGGGTTTCAGAGTTAGGGCAGGATTTTGCTTGGGATGAGGCAAATGCATCGCCGGTTTCCTCTTCAGGTTTTTCAGTGTTCAGTGCCTTGGCGCCTACTCGAACCATCGCTCGATGTGTTCACGGATGCGTTGTCTCTCGGATGGGGTTTTGTGGCTAGTGCTCACCAGGCCGGCCAGGGATGGTGGGGTCCGTCCTTCCATCGAGCTCATAGCACGATGCAGGAGTTTGTGGCAGTTTGGCTGTCGCTTCGGAGAGTCGATCGTGGGTCAAGGATCCGGCTCCATTCGGACTGGTCACTTCGAGTGGCTCATCTGCTGGATTCTTGAGGTTTGTCTCTCCAGGCAGTTCATGTCTGGGGAGTGTCCAACGTCTTGGTGGACAGCCTGTCCTGGTTCATTCCCTTGTCCACGGAATGGACGGATCAACGCTGACTCCTTCAGTTGATTCTGCTAGAAGTACAGGTGCCTGGAGGTGGACAGCTTCGCATCGGCGTGGTCTTGGCGTCTCCCAATTTACAGTATGTGGTGCCATTTCCCGACTGCAAGGCCGTCGCGGTAGACACCTTTTGCCTGAACTGGTCGAGGTGGGGTTACCCGTACCTCTCCCTCCCAGTCCATCTGTTGCTTCAGGTCCTGGCTCCTTTGGAGGCTTACCAGGGAAGAGTACAGTAGTCCTCTTGGCCCCTTGGTGGCCGACCCAGTCTTGGTTTTGGGCGCTGCTTGCTCGGTGTCCGAACTCGTTATGTTTTCCGCGGCTCTGCTTCTTTCAGCAGATCAGTCCAGTCAGGTACCTGACTGGTTCGGGCTCTCTTTCTGTTGGCATTGGCCTCTGGGGATCGGGTCGGTGAGCTTCATGCTCTCCTCTGGCATAGGAGTTTCTGCTCTTTCGGTCTTGGTGGTAGGTTTGTTTGGTTGTGCAGTCTTCTCCTGTTTGTTGCAGATAGTACGCTGGGTATTTGGACTTCATATGCCTTTAGTCCTGTAGAGAATTCTGTTGCAAACACAATGATACCAAATTGAAAAACCTAGGACGAGAATTGAGGTAACAAAGTTGAAAAGATTATGCACTTTTCAGAATTACCACACGCTCCCGAGGAATGCCCAAACCCACCCGGGTTAGTGTGATGCATGTGCGCCCAGAACATCAAAGTGTTAAGTTGTAGGGTGAATTCTGCCTCCCTGTTCGGTTTTTGGTCGCATTTTCTTGCAAGTAGGGCTTGTTTTGTTATGCCTACCTTTCTGGGTGCCAACCCCAGTTGATGGCAGACATGGAATACCCCCAACTACATGGGGGTTTCTATGGCCCCAACTACATGGGGCCATTGCTCCCTCTGCCTCTCTGAAGGGGCCAGGTTCTGGCTTGTGGTCCCGAGTAGGCTGAACTCTATTGACTAAAGCTCTGGTCTAATGTATCGCATATTTGTCTAATAGCTCCAGGAAGCCTCCAGGGCTCACCCAGAAAATGTCGTTTCATTACATTCAACGCTGGTTTTTAATTACACTGATGCCTCACTACAGACAAGTGTTAAAACGTAGGGAAAAAACAAGTGTCTATAGACAGGTTTTTAGTGAGACAAACAAGTAGTGAGCCACAACCAGGTCCTAGTGGTATGCTTGCAAAATGTGAGAGAGAGAGTACTCCAGAAATGTTTTCACTGCCTGATGTTATAATGGAAGGGGACTTCCCCTCCAAGCACTAACACAACCATAGCCCATGCTACTTGGAACTTTTGTTTAGAGTAGCTAAATCTTCCACAACAACACTACAAACACCTCTCCTCCTCCCCCCACCCCCTCCCCACCATCTTCCATACACCAACAAGAATCCTCAATAAAGGTTAGAGATACATACCGTAGTAGAAAATATGAGTAATATTATGTATAAAATGTATTTTTAAGTACTGTTTACTGCTCGATACTCATTTTCCCTTCATAGCAGGAGAGATTGCTGAAATAGAAGGAATACAGAGAACATATATGGCATGCTTAAACATGATAAAGCATCAAAATTATTGGGATCTTCTCAAAGCTCTCCAAATTTACTCACAAGAAAGGAGACCAGAAAGATATTAAATAATATACACGTGGAAAATACTGGAGGGCCAGATCCCATATCTACACAGTAAAATAACAACATATTGGAGTGAACGATATGGAAGAAAATGTAGAGTAGAACCAGTGGAGATCAGGGGTGCCATAAGTACAATCTAAGAAAACTGTATAAACATCAGAGGTCCAAGGTTGTTCAACATACTCCCAGCGAGTATAAGAAATATAACTGTGAACATCTTCAAAAGAAAACTAGATAGATTTCTACAAGAAGTACTGGACCAACTGGGCTGTGGTGGATGTGTGGACCTGCGGGCCACTCCAAGCAACAGCCTGTTGGACCAAGCTCTCACAAGTCAAGCCTGGCCTCGAGCCAGGCATGGGAAGTAGAAGAACTCTGAGAACCCCATCAAACAAATATTAAACAGGTACCTTGTACAGATGGTTGGGAAGAGGGTGTTGAAACCAATTCCATTCACAACTTTAAGAAAAAAATATAATGTGCTTGGCTTCACTTTGTTCAGTTAGGTAATTAGTGCATCAGTTATAAAGAGCTAAGGGCAGGGCATAAAGAGCTAGATCTCTTCTCAATAGTCACTGATAGGTAAGCATCTTACCACAAGGTAAGAGTAGGTCTCAGAGGCTTGGTGCATCTCCTGTGGCATGGCAGCACCAGTGCTCACCTCAGAAAGCTACTGAAGGCCCACTATAAAGTGTTTGATTACATTCAAAGCTGGATCAAATTAATTGACTGGGCAGATAGCCGACACAGATAATAAATTAGTGATAATTGTCCCTATAGTAAGTGGCATGGTTTCTTTTTTTTAAATCTGACTGTTTTGTTGAGTATATTTATTTGCACCTAATCTATCACTAAAATTTATAGTCTTGTAATGCACCAAAATCATCCACAAGTCTTACCAACACTTATCAAAACATGTAATAGCATTTCAACACCAACAAGTGTAGCAACTAAACATTGATTTTCACTCCTATGACAGTTGGAAAAGATATGATATCCTGTAGCCAAAATATCTCGGTAACTGTCAGGTTTCCATCTTGACTCTTTTGGGTACTTCATAGTTGATAGTTGATTAAAAGTATCATCAAAATTCTTTGTTTTTCAGGAACCGGTTAGTTTCCAGGTGTGTCTGCCACACCTGGAGACACTGAGAAACAATATGCTGCAGACCAAAGCTCAGAGTAATGCCATGCGCTTATCTCTGGGGGCTGCTGCCCTTGCTATTCAGCCCAATCTTCAAACGGTGGAAACCCTGCAATCGTGGGACACTTACAGTGCTATCCTCTATCTCCTGGACATGGAAGCCAAACAGAGGGTAATAGTGCTGCTCATGTTCACTAAGTTAGTCCTCGTCTTCATTATTATTTTCTTATCTATCCTTCTCTTCTTTTTTCTCTCCCTCTTTTTGCTTTTTCTCCATTACTTGAACTTCTGATTATTTACAAAAATCATAAAAGTCTATTTTGATAAAGGGGCTTCTTGTTTGCTACACTACAGCCGACCCTGCTTGAATGAGTTCATTGTCTCTAAAATTATATTTGCCTTTACAGCTTTTTTCTTTATTTTTGTATAAGCACTATTTAAAAAGCATGAAGGGCAGTGTGCATATAGATGGGAACAATAGGAATGGTTATTTGTTGATATACTGTACTTGCAAAGTTGTACCGGAATAAACAAATTGTGAAAGATGTGATAAAAATAGAATGCCTAGTCTATATTGTGGTGCAAAAAGCAAAGCAAAGAAAAAAAAAGCCAACTGCATTTGATTAGACAAAGGGTTATAGTTTGGTTATCTTTATCCAGCCCTTTGGCTGTGGCTTAATGTGGTGTTATCATAATATAATTTTTAAAGGAGTACTCTAATGTACTGTATTTGAAATGGGGAAGTGTTGGGAGTATTGTAATTGTGTATTGTGCAGTGTGTGTTGAGATCGGAATGGGAGATAACCATACATTGTGAGGGCTGAGGAGCACATTGCTGTTTTTTCTATATAACTTTAAATTTAGTTTTCACAAGATATTCCAGAAACCAAATGGGCTTCCTTTCTCTCTCTCATCAGAGCACAAATGGAAGCGAGAAGAAAGTCGAGCGGAAATTTGCCGTCACCTGCTTGACGGTGAACTACGAGAAAGATATGGACATGGATGAGCTTGAGCGGGTGATGCTAGCCTGTCCTAAACTCTCTCATCTGATGCTCAACAATGCTGAGAATATTCACAAAGATTTGTCTCTGCTATGTGCAGTAAGTATACATATTACTTTATGTACAGTATGAGTATATTATACTGTATATTTAAATCTAGAGTACAGTAATTTCAGGATATAAATTGGTCATAACATTTATGTATTTGGGTTACTTTTGACATTTTGTTAGGTATTTGTTTGTAGCAAATGTATCTTATAAGCATTTAGAGTTTTTATGGCCCCCCAGCTGTCAGTGTGTGTGTGGAGTCTTGTGACTGCCACAGCTGCTCTGCCTCTGAGGTGCCAGGATTGTGGTACCTGCTGCACTAGGCCTTAACATGATCATAGATGCTTGTGTGTGTTGGTTTTGGCTCTGGGTATTGGGAGGAGCCACTGAGGGCACTACCCCACGAAATAGGCTCATGTTTGTTCACGAAACCTCATGAACACTATTTAGCAATCAAATTAGTCTCGGTGATTGCTTAGGAACCCACAACAACCATGCCCTGATGGTCCGAGATCTAGGCCAGGTCAAGATAGAAAATCCAACAAATTGCATTAACTATTTAAATTTTACTCTGGATATTTTTTTTTATAACATTAATGGCAAGTGCTAGCCTATGGCCATATTTCTTGTTGAGTTGGGTCATGCATCATAATATAGTTGAAATATGTGTGTCTTAACTTATTACATCTTGCCTCACAGATCATCCCAGTAAAGCAAGTGAAGAAACTAAACATCGATGCCTCAAAATTGACGAACTTGGAGCTTACTGTGCTGCTGGCCGAAATGTGCAGTTTAGAGCACCTAACACTCGAACTCACTCCGCAGGCAATCATTAAGTTTAACCTTCCCAATGAAGCAGATACTAGGGTTAGTATTATTGCTGTGTGGTATTTCATGTTCACTAATGTCTGTAAATTTCATTTTCTCGATACATTAATTTTTAGTTGTCATTTCTTCATAAGTATCATTCAAACACGGTATATACCATGCCTGCTAATCCTTGTGACACAGATGGAAGCGTCTGCTTCATCAATAAAGTATTCAGAGAAGCTGTGATATGTGTTCCTCTACTTGCATTGTAGTAACTGTAAATATTATGATAGCCAAAATAAAATTAGATTTTTTAATCAAACCTAAAGTTTAACATTAGTGAATAGTATACTGTATAATTTTTTATCCTAAATATTCAAGTCTTGCTCTTCAACTTAACATTAACTCCTCTCATAAGAGTTTGACATATTAACTCCCCTCATAAATGTGTGATACCTTATTCGTCATCTTCCTTGTGTTACTGTCTCAAACTATGTAGAATCTGATTAAATTTCTTGATCAAGGAGAATCTATTTGTCGGTTAAATATTTATTTGTATACTTTTTGTCATTCCTTGCCTTGTAAACTGTTAGTCATTTTTGTTTTTTTTTCAGATGGCCATGCTTCCCACAATCAAGACATTGGTCATTGAATTTCTCTCCCCTGACGTGGATCTGGAGGCATCGCCCGATGATTTGAATTTCCATGCAAAAGACATGATGAGTTTCCTGTCAACTTTCTCATTAGTTAAGGAACTTTACTTCTACAACACACTGCTTGCTCCAGCTCCGTATTTAGTAAGTAATCCTCTCGTGTTTTCACTAATGTGGCATAACATTAGGCATATGGGGTCCTGGCTTCATATTTAGTAAGTTCTTATATATAAACTAGTGCGGAAAATCGACAGAGAAATGGAAAAGAATGATGAACGTTTCGGCCGATCAAGGCCGTTGTCAACACCAGACTAAAAGAAATCACAAAGGAAGAGTGGAGGCTACCACTAGAACCTGACCACCATCCTCTGGGAAAGAATTAACTTGAAAAAGGTATAGATTAGCTTAGAATGGTCAGAAGGATTTAAGTGGTATGAATAAAAGATTAAAGAAAAAGCCTCATTGAACACACAAAATATATAAATATAATATTGTTATGAGACATTGTAACTCTCCCTATCATAGTTTTTTTCTTAAACTGTTGTGCAATATTGTAACTTAAAATTGGCTCAATTTTGTATATACCAATACTAACATTGAGAAGATTTGGACACCGACTGATTAGGGCAGACTCAATTAAATTCCGTTCCACAAAGCCATTGCAATTGGTAATGCTGTTTGCCCCATCCCAATTAATAGTGTGATCACACAAACTTGTGTATAGATACAAAGCATTAGATTTTTGGGCAGTTCTTATACTATAAGCATGTTGGGACATACATAATTGTAAGGATTTTCCTGTTTGTCCCAGGTACACAGACTCACAATCATTGCAGGGAATCGAATACACACAACCTGCTGTACCAGGGGATTTTTTTATTAATTTTATCCAGCAGGTTGTGTGTATTCGTATCCCCCCTTCCCCCTCCCGGGGAGGGGGAGCTGCGCAGACAGCGGCGCGGCGACGTGTGATGTCATGCTCGTTTGCTCGTTTCTTTTTGGGGAGTTCTATCCACTTGTTCGGCTTTTGGTAGCAACTTTCACCAGAATAGGGGTTTGTTTTGGGACGCTTACCTTTCTGGGTGCCTGACCTAGTCGATGGCAAACATAGAATGCTTCCAACCACACAGGGGTTTCTATAGGCCATTGCTCCCCATGCCCCTCTGATGGGGGGCCAGGTTCTGGCTCGTGGTCCCCGGTAGGCCCACAGAACTCCATATGCATGACTGATGCCAAAGTCTGACATTAGCATATCAGCATGGATAAGCTCCAGGGAGCCTTTGGGTCTCGCCCAGAAAATGGTATTTCATTACATTCAACGCTGGTTTTTTCACACCCTGAGCATTCTATCTCAACAGATTCTGGAACTCTCCGGGATCAAAATTGCCCCAAACACATTACTCCTGCAACATAGATCTGGTTTCAATAGGACTCGAAATACCTGTTAGCAAGCCATCTCTTTATAAAAGTTGTTTCTTCGTAATTTCAAATATCCAGCCAAGGGTTTCCCTGCTTTCTCTACTGACTAATTGTTTTATTCTGTCCTGTATACCTGCTGCACCATTATATATCACTCATTTTTAGGAAATACAATTTAAGAATGAGTAGATATATCTGGAAATGTTGCAAAAAAAATTGACTTAGCTGGATGAATCATTCCCTTCAGACAAAAAGATATTCATTAGTGAATTATTTCTTTGTGTACAAGTGTGGACAGCTAACAGGTAGGAGACTACAATGAGTTCAAGGATGAACTCCCAAGATGTTCTTGAACATTTCCTTCATTCACAATTAAGCTTACCAAGGTGAGCACTGTAGTCCCATAGTTCACATCCATACAAGCTTATACTGTTAATAACAGTATTAAGCTAACATGATAAAATAGGAATGAATAATCTCCAATATTTTAACCCATCTACCTCCATACCAAAAAAAGATGATTGCTAAAAAAAATAACTTGTGGTCTTGAACCAGTGTATATGAACCAACACTTCTGTACTTCAGCAAATCACCCACAGGAGCTTACTATCAACAAAATATTTGAAAGGCTATTATTGTGCTTATTGAAAAAAAATAATGCATGAACAAGTGAATGCGAATGTACACAAAAAGTTGTTGTTCTACTCCCCAGAACCCCATTAAGCAGGTGGATTAAAGTGTTCATACAAGAATCTGGAAGTTAGGAAGGTGAAACATACCGTACACTTGACTAATTTTCTACTATACATAATACGGTTGATGGACGAGAAAATGTCATGGTGTGATAAGTGACTTTAGCTAAATACATTAAACAAAATTTATTTGTTCATCGTGTAATGTATGTGTAGACCTCTGGCCTTCAGATCAGATTAGTGGGCCTTGTAGCTGCAGGTGTTTGGTAATGATGGTGACACTGTGGTAGATCTAACCTTTGCAAGAATGATTAGTTTTCTTAACCTGGGTATCATTATGAGTGCTATAATGACTAATGGTAAATATGAAAAGAACAGTATTTCTCATTAAAAAAAACAAACAGAAATAACACAAATCAATTGGATTTTATTTTTTCAGCTAATACAGTATACATTTATATTAAAGTTCATAACCAGGTATTAAGTTACTTGGACTATGTTTCCTATTAGAAAGTCTCAAACTATTATTTTTTACCATTTATAAATATCTGCTTATTCTACTGTATCAGAAAAATTATTAAACAAATTTGTTATTGTAAATATGGGAAAAACACACCCCTTTCTTCTTAGAAATGTAATAGAAATTGGAAAATTCTCCCTTCCCCTGTATTTATACATGATATTCTCCCTTGGGGATTCTTATGGCCTGCTATTGAGCATTCTGGCCTATATTTGCAACCTCCGTGTATACATGGGGCTGAAATGGGACAATGAATGGATTAAAAGTAGTTGGATGTCTAGTATTTAATAATACTTAATGTTAATAATACTAAATGCAGTGGGATGCATTAAGTATTATTAAATACTAGACATCCCACTAGTATTTTTCTTCATAAAAGTAGATGTTTATCTTAGATTATTAATACAAATCTAATAAAGTAGGCGAGATATCTGTTTTACACAAATACAGTTTCTGAAATTTGTTTCCCTAGGTTTATGGATGTATTGGAGGATCTTTGGCAGTATTACATGGCCTGCGGCACCTATCTGTTATTTCGTGTCATGAGGACATACCTAGAGAGCTTACCCAGCAGACTGAGCATCAGGAGACGCACTTGTTTTATCATTACAAGGGAGTGCCTCGTATGTTGGCAGATCTTCAGGTAATGTATAATATAAATTGGTGCACTATCCTTGCATATATTTTTTCCATGCCTACCTTAGGCCAGGCAGAGTAACTGGCCAGGTTATTCAGCGTCATGCTCTCCTAGGTTAAAAGACAGTCTGTTATTATTTTACATGAACTCGTCTACTGCTTAACACAGGTGAATATGATTGTTGCTACTAGCAACAGCTAGTTTATTGTACTCTTGACACTCATCTTGTAAGCTGTAGCATTAAAGGATTACAGAGGGGGCAAAAGGTCTTAATCAGACTCCTTTGTATGTTTGACATTAGCATTTTTAAATTATTTGTACACCTTATTTAATTATGATAGCTAGTAACAAACAGAACACTGCAACTGCTATGTATAATAATAGAGTAGCAGCTGCTTATAATAGATCTTTCTTAAAGATGCTAATGTTGGAATGTGTTAGAAAATAGTTTCATGAGAAGGGTGTACAAGTGTAAAAAATATGGTCTATTGCATCATATGGTAGATACAATAGACCAGTGTCTTGGAAGGGAAGTGGAACTATATATGAAAGAAAGGGTGGGGTCAGGGGGAGAATAGGGATAAAGGGAGCTTTAATGAGTGAAAGATTTGTGATGTGATATAACTTCCTGGAGAAGCTTCTACTGTGGCCATCCAGTAATTATGGCCACAGTAGCAGCTAAAAAAGAAATATGACTTATGTATTCATGAACAATGTGGGTTTCAGGATGAGACAACCTTCAAGCACTTGCGGGCACTGGAGAGTCTGGAGATTGATGAGTTTTATATTAATTCAGCTGTTGACAGCATGATTGAAGCCTTGCGACTGTCAGGAGTCATGGTAGCCGTACATTATCGTCCTGGAGTACATAAATACCCGAACCATGGTAAGTAGCCTTGTATATACTGTATTGTATTTATGCTTATTAGTGTGTAGAAATGCAGTGTGAAGCATGTGTGGGGTTAAAACAATATACAGTGGTACCTCGAATAACGAATTTAATCCATTCTGGCACCGTCGTAGTCATGTGAAATGGATGTCATACAAAACGAATGTCCCCATTGACATTAATGGTAATCAAATTAATCCATTCTACCACCGAAAAACATCAATATGATATTCGATGTTTTAAATAATGGAGCAGTAACAAAGCAGTAACAGTAACACCTCTCCTCCTTTCCCCTCATCACCATCTTCCATATGCCATCACGAGTCCTCCATAAAGGTAAGATAAACATGTACTGTATTGTGGTTAGAGAAAAAAATTATATTCAGTATAAAATGTATTTTTTAGTTAATATTTTTGGGGGTGTGGAAGAGATTAATTTAATTCCCTTTATTTCTTATGGGAAAAATCGCTTCGACTTACGATACTTCTCTTGGAACGGATTACCATCGTAAATCGAGGCCCCACTGTACAGCTGTACTTTGAATTTTTTTTGTAGCAACAAAGCCACTCTCTTCCCCCCTCCTTGGTCCTTGCTATTTCTTGCTTATCTGGAATTCACTTGGGAGGATCACACTCCCTATTATACTTCGTTTCCACCCAACCACTTGGGCTAGACGGTAGAGCATCGGCCTCACTTCATGCAGGTCAGTGTTCAATCCCCAACCGTCCAAGTGATTGGGCACCATTTCTTTCCCCCAACCCATCCCAAATCCTTATCCTGACCCCTTTTCCAAGTGCTATTTAGTTGAAATGGCTTGGCACTTTCGCTGATTATTCGCTGATTATCCCTTGTTATTATGATAATTTGTGGTACAGTACCTTGTTCCTGCTACTTGCCTCAACTGGTTAGCTGTATCCTTATGTAGTAGATGTGGGTCTTGATTGGGCAGCTGGGAAGAGTGAAGTATTCTTTGTACAAGAAGAAAGTATGTGTGGAGACTGGAATTTAGTGTGAAATATGAATTGAACAGTAAGGGGACACAAGTGGATTGAAACAAGTTATGAGGGAGTAAATATATGTGTACAGTATGACACTTCATGAGGAAAATTGTACCTGGTTTAAAGTGGTTAGGTACTGTTGGAGTGGGTTGGTCTTTGCTTGTATGGCATGCTATATAATGTCAATATTGTAGTTTAATGGACAAGTGTTATTTTTATAACGTCTTTAATTTTCTTTCATTGTTGCCCCTTTTTTTTCCCCTCTGCACTGATTCATGTGGGGGGAAATATGGAAATGATGATATAATAAAAATAAATTCCATTGAATATATATGCCAAACTATTGGATTTGTGCACTCATAATGAAGATTAGACCCCCCTCCCCTCCCAACTTTTCCGCATGAGAAGGAGGTTTATATTTATGCAACATATTTTACTTTCAGACGAGATGACAAGAAGTCGTCGACCAAAACCTCGCAAAATCTAAATAATATTAGGCACCACCACTGTTACTAGTGTACACAACTGCCTTTCATGGGGTTGGGAGGCACCAGCCCAGAGGAAACATTAGCTAGCTTTTCGACTGCTGCTGTTAAAATGTTGAGAGTATAATTTGTATTTAATGTAATATTATGAACCTTGTTTTTAGTATTAGATTGATGGTTTTGAGATAAGTGTTTGAAACTAAAGGTGTGAATTAGGTAGAGATGTGTGAGCATGTTTTGTTTTTCTGATGTGAGCGGGGAGTAAGTTATTACTGTACACTAAAAGATACACTAAGGAAGTAACCGTAAGGTCAAAATGTGACATAACTAATTCACTAAAGTAGGTCTATGTTACTTCGTATAAAAACATTCACATTGGATTTGTATTAGAAAGTATGAGGTCAAGACAGCTGCTCTACCATCTAGTGCAAGTGGTTGAAAACTTGATAAACCACAATACAGTATTGAGAAAGTAATGGAAATTAGTCTGGTCATGTTGAAACAGTGAAGAATTTGGTAGCGAATTTGAAAGTAAGTGAAGTGGAAGACCAATTAGATGGATATAGCGAGTGTGTGGATCGAGTTCGGACGGCACAAGGGATAATGAACAAGGGAAAAATGTAACCAGTGTTAAACCCAACAGCTTACAAGGACTATTTAATACCTGCTTTTGGCAATTTTTGGACCATCAAAGGTAGAGTAGCATGTTTATCCAGTTTTAAATAGCATTTAATATTAGGATTGTTGAATTAAAAAAATCTAAAATGGTAAAAAATTTAGGATGTGTGGACATTAGTTGTTTTATATCTTTTAGAAAGATTTTAGTTTAGTGGTTGTCATTCTGCAAGTTTGTTGCTAGTATTGTAAAACCAAGTTGATTTCTGATACAATACTTTGAAGATAAATATCAGCCTGCAGTATTTAGGCAATTTATTTTAAACGATTGTAAAGTCACATGCAATTTTTTCTGCACACATTCTTATTACAGTACTATATTTAACGAGAGGAATTTCCACAAATTCCAACTCTACCGAGTTGTGGAGTACTTCTACACCCCAGACTAACGTGTTACTTTACAAATAAAATCTCTATAGGTAATGTCCTGGAAGTGTTGTATCAAACAGGGACTGCTTACATAATTCCCACAAACTTTCATCCTTGCTACAGTAAAAAATTTGTCTTTGTTTTAATTGTTAGTATCAATTTAATCAGTTTGCTCTAATAACCTACGTATGTTCTTGTTAACTTCATATGACCGTACTATAACATTACTGCTGCTTTTATTTAGATGTGCAGTAATCACAGTAGATGCATCTTTTCAAATTATTTGTAATGTTTATTTTGTATTTATAGTTTACATTAATTCCTTAAAAAGTTCAAATGCCAGGGCCATTTCGGTACAGATACTGTATACAGAACATTATTTTACCTGTTATATTTCATTAATTATCAGACTCTCTTCTCACACACACAATGATCATTTAAGAACAAGTGTACACAAAATTTGTCTCAAACCAGTTGAGTAATTCTATGACAGAGTTCAAATATAACTTGTTCCAAGTACCACATGTGCAATTTTATTTCTAAACCTCATTGTTATTTATTCCATTTATACAGTACATGCATTTCAATATTTATGGTTAAATTTGAAGTTTACTAAAAAATTGAGTAATAAAATGGTGCTAAACTGCAGTTATAAAAAATTACATGACACTAACATGGGAGATCAGTGGTTGTATGAGCTGTAATGAATTATCAAAAGGAGGAACAAGCCAGGGACACTATCACCATGGATGCCAATATAAGAACAAAAGCAAACAATGTGAGAGATATCGAAAGTATCGAACTCGCAACGGATTCTATCGAGTGGCAAACGACCACAAGAGACATCTGGTAAGCAAGACAAACATCCTGAAAATTGGGACATTCTACAAGGAGGTGCACAACTGTAAGAGTGACAATGCAGTTTGGACAATAAGGAGCTGGCAGCATTTCATTAAATGCCTGCGAGTTAAGTACGTATGGCCAGTATGTAACCTAGCCAGAGCCGTTTCCTACCACTGATTCCTGTGCTAGGAGGAAAGCCAAGGGGATGGGCTACCCTTAAGAGCACACAGTTTGTTACCTGTAATACAAGACCAACGACCCTGCCAATGGTCTCGAATTAAGAAATGAATGACTGGGTACTAATCCAAATAAAGAACATCTTTTTGGGAAATAGGACAAGTGCAGATAGCCTCCTTAGCAGCAGTGTCTGCATACTCTTTTTTTTTTTTTTTTTTTAAGGTAATACCTGTACTAATATGGCTGGGAACCTAGCAAAATTCAGCCATTTTAAATCTGCTAGAGATAAACAGCTTATATTGAATTTTGACCACCACAAGATGTATAGGATTAAATGACTCCAGAGCCATGAGAGCACTGCAAGAATTAACCACAATGACAAAGGTGTATTGACATTGAAAGAGCATACAAAATTGCACGCAGTTCATCCATAAAGATGCTAGCCTCCAGGGTTAGGCGGCATATACAGTACAGTACAGTATAGGTCTGGTCTGTAAAGACAACGGACTAGCCAACACCATTGCCAGACTTAGACTTACACTATCTGTGAATAGGGCAACAGAATGGGAGTGGGAAGGTAAATGCATTTCATAACTATAGGAAGGGTTCAAATTTTTATTATGCGGGTCAAAGACTTGCAAAGCTTCACAAAAGGGACCCTCCATGGGGACAAAGTAGGAATGACATGAGATACATTGCAAACAAACTGAAATGGAACAGGCACAACAGCCAAAGTTCAACAAAAGCAAGCATGAGGATGTTGCAGATCTTGTGAGGTAGTCCAGGCAGTAATGATCCCGACAATCGTGTAGTGACAAGATGCTGGTTTCAACATACAAGCTCTGATAGCAGACAAAAGGCACCAAAGCCAAGGCACAACCCAGCATGGTGCAGAGCAACATGTCGAAGGAGAGAGGAGTAAGTAGGGCAGCCATAATCCAGTTTAGACAGCATGAGAGAAGTACAAATAGAGGAGTGTGCATCTATCAGAATTCCAAGAAATTGGGGACAAGAAGTAATGTAAGGACCTTAGAGCATTCGACTGAGGTAAATGATACAGGGTGACCAAGATAAATGAGTCAAATATCAACCCAAAAAAGGCAGAATCTTTATACAGAAAGGGACTACCATAAAGCAACAACTGGATGAAGAACAATCTGCTTCTGAGTAAAAGTCATAGCACAAGTCTTAGCTATTGAATACTTGAAGCCATGACTGGTGGCCAAGGATGACAATGCATCAATTGCAAGTTGGAGGTGGTGTTGGAGGAAAGGAGCGTTGTCAACATAAAGGGCTGAGAAAATGCCAGTGAGAAGTAAGACCATTAGGGCAAATGAGGAAAAAGTAGTGCTCAGAACACTACCCTTTAGAACACCTTTGAATTGAGGAAAGGAGACAAAGGTATCACCAAGTCTCACTTTAGAGCAACTGCAAGAAAGGAAGCAATGAAAGAAGAGCGAGAGATTGCTACGAAGGCCAAAAGAATGAAGCTAAAACAAAATATTGTACCTGCAGGTGGTGTCAAAAGCATTTCCCAAGCCAAAAAGAATGGCAACCACAGAGGTCTTTGTGGCAAAAAGCAGATCGAATGTAGGCCTCTAGATCCACAAGAACATCAGTCATGCTATGACATTTGCAAAAGCCAAATTGAGAGGGAAAGAGGTAGCAATAGTGTTCTAAGAACTACATAAAATGGACATTGACCACACATTCAAAAAGCTTCCAAACACAACTTGTCATGGCAATGGGATGAAAACCCCTAGAGTTCTGGGTTTCCAAATAGGAAGAACCAGCCTCAAGCCAGCCTTCAGACTTACCAACAAAGCAGTTGGCCAAGATGGAGTTTCACTTTGGGTTCTGAGAGAATACACATCTGATCTGAGCACTCCACTTCAATTAATTTTCATGCAACTTTGTGTACAGGAATCTCAGCAATATCTCCTGCAACAATATTGCTGAGTATTCAATAATACTCAGCAATATTTTCATGCAACTTTGTATACAGGAATTCCATCTATTTCAGCAATATCTCCTGCTCTGAAAGGGGAAATGAGTATCGAGCAGTACTCAAGACTGGACAGCCCAATCAATTTGAATAATACAACCATTTTGATGGGATCCCTGGATTTGAAGGTTCAGTAATCCATCCAATCATTTTTCTGGTTGGCCCTATATTTACTTGGTTATGCTCCCCAAACATTAGGGAGTTGTGTAAATAATGCTGCTGTTGTTTTAGATTCAGCTACTCGGAACAAAAGTTCCAAGTAGCACGGGCTATGGTAGTAATGTATTTGTTCTGTAAATGCTGTTGTTTAATTGTTTTATTACTAAATTCTATAACTTTTGTGCTTACTGAAGACCCCATTGGTACAGTATATCATTTGTCAGCAAAATAAATGACTAAAAGGCCTGAACAGTTCCCAACCAGCCTTTCAAACTGTTTTGAGAACATTAAAGAGAATGAGTGTATGCACAGGACAATAGCTTACAGTGCATTCTGTACATACAGACTACCTTATACCATATCTTTTAATTGTGCACAGCAAACAAGGGGCAATTTCCTACCGTGCAATGGCATTTCAACTCCAATTATACTGCAGTAGGCATGAAGAAATGCTTGTTAATTTTTAATACACCTATCTTGAGGTTATCTTGAGATGATTTCGGGGCTTTAGTGTCCCTGCGGCCCGGTTACTGATTTTCTAATGAATTTGAGGGTACACTATATAACACGAATGCAAAGTGCACATGGAATATCTTCAAGGATAAGACTGTTAGTGGTACTCTGTGCAGAAGTAGTGAATAAGTTTGTACCTGCTGTAGTGTAATAGTGCTCATCCGATTTTATGGTGCAAATAATATAAATGGATATGACATATGTAATTACTGATACAATATCTCTTTTCTTCTTTCACTATATTATCCATCTCTTTACTCTGAACTAATGCCTCCCTGCTCCACAAAAGTAAGACATGGGGTAATATGGATATATTTTTTTATACAAGTAGGTTCTGATGATTAATTGGTATGTTCATAAGGGCATCATATTAACATGATATCTATGAGAAAATCACTGGAGCAGTACAGTGATGAAACCAGCATCCTAGATATTCCCAGATGTGTGTCTTACCCTTGGACCACAAGATGGTAAAGATTACACAACCTCTGGATTTCTCCGAATCTACTTAGGAGTCTGGAGGCACCAAGCTGGTAGCCAACCTAAGTTTTACATATAATTCCCATACACTCTGGTGTAGGTAATTGGCTTCACCCCAAACGCTCTTAACATACACAACAAAATCACATTCCCATGATTTATCCACGAGAAAATTATTGAAGCAATTAAGATAATTCAGAGGACTCCCAAGCTTTGTAATCTTTGATCATGTTGTGATCCAGGGACAAGATGCACATCTGGGAGTACCCAGGATAATGGTTCGATCCCAGAACTGCTCTAATGATTTTTTTCAATTGGTACAGTCTTGTAAAACCACTAACATGCATAGCATTTTGGGCTAGTCTTAAAAGCTAAGAATGAATTTGCAATAAATTTAATGTTAAAAAATGTAAACAATCATTAATTTTGAAAAATAAAACTAGTATACATTGAGAAACTTTAGTGATTTGGCATTAACATAATTATAAGGTAAGGACTAGTTTATATAACAATATGAGTGATGATAATGATATAGCATTGATGACCCAGTTACATTTTTCAATGGTCTAGCATGAAGTGAATTACAGTAGTTGCACAAATTAAGGTACTGTACTATGGTAAGGATTTTTTTGTACTATATTTGAAAGTATTGGTTGAATTAAACTTTGCTTTATTAGGGAGTTCTATATTGGGTTCCTTGATTTGTATGGCTTATTTCCATGCATTGCATTACATTAATCTAAAAAGAGCTTCAAGTCAGAGGTTAGCACTGAAGTATAGTATAGTATAGTACAAGTATAAACAGCATAAGAGAATGTACAGTGTGAGTATGATTAACATATTACAGAATTTGAATAGAGGAGTTGTATGTTACAGTACAGTATGGAAAGACAATTTGTTATAGTTATGAGATCCTTTTTTTTGCTGGATGATGTATTGGGAAGTAATAGAGTAGTGCAATAAGAGCAGAGTAGGGCAACATCATATCTGAGTTTTTAAAGTACAATATAGTACTGTATACTGTACCAACTTTTTTGAATGATAGTGATTTTTCCCCAAGAGGCTGTGTAGTGTGGAATGAATATACGAGTACAGCTGTATCTTGCAGGTGATGTCACAATAACGTGGCTGAAGATCTTGCCTATTTATTGCCTCTCTCTTGCCTATTTATTGCCCTGCATCAACTCCTTCATCACAATCGACTTGAGAATGGTCCAGGATGGACCGAAACGTCATCGTCCCTTCACCTTCTAGTGTGTGGTGTGGTCTACAGCTGTATCTTGTTTTTCTGGACAGGTGCCTTCGCTCTTTACTCAAAAATGTTGCAGCGAGTTAATAATTATCATTATTATTACAGTACAGTATTGCTCTTGAGCTATTTTCCATGCATATGAAACCCTGCCTCTAATATACATCAGTGACAACATAATACCACATTGCCTTTCAACTGAGAGGCATGGGTTAGTGAGGCACCTAACAACCCTCACTAAATAACCAAATAAAATACAAGAAACCTTAGAAAATTAAATTTAAAGGCTTAAATAACACGGTACCACCCATGAGTAATCACAGCACTAATATAAATCTTGCAAGCATTCACCTGATGGAACTATACTGGGCAAGGTCAGTGTAGGGAGCCACACTGGGTGTCAGGAAAGAGAGTGTAGCTCTCTCCAGCCTTCATCTGTCCTCCACAGAATGGGAAGTGCAACCTGGAAATACAAACCTTTAAATTTTGCTGAATAGGTTATATATTCTTGACTATGAATATATATTTTAATTTTATTAAATATAATTTTTACATATTAATCACTATTTGATAACACACTGACTTTCAGTAGGGCTTTAGCCAGGGCTCGAAAATTATTGTCACTTCATAATACAGTACAGTACAGGACTGTGGTTTATGAACATAATACTCCATTCACCACTTTTCCAACAATGCTAGTACAGAAATAGTTTGTGTTAGCAAAACCTTTCCATTTTTTAGCTCTTTCATTATTTTGTCAACGGATCAAACCCTAGAAATAATCAAGCATACCTTTTTACTTTGAGGAAAAGAAGATAGTTATGTAACTACTGTATAAAACTCTGGTGTAGTCCCACTTGGATTATTGTATTCAAGTATGGACACTTCACCTTCTGAAAGACATAGCTGCAGTGAAGAAAGTTCAACACTGGGCAACAAAAATCATTCTAGAACTAAGTCAATTCTCATACAGGAATAGTTTGGGGCCACAGCACTTAAAACACCTAAAATAGGCATGACAGGGCAGATCTCATTGAAACTTGTAAAATACTGATTAATTTTGTTGATTCAGGCAATTTCTTCAAAAGGTCAGATGTAACAAAAAAAAAAGCATCATTTCAAGCCCAACAAACAACAATGCTGATCTAAAAAGTAGAGATGCTTTTTCACCCACAGGGTGATAAACTCATGAAACTACCTATCTGCTGAAGTCATAAATGCCAAAACAGTTACTGTATATGTAACTGGCTTGGGAACCTGGAATTACTTTGGTGACAAAGACTACATCTTCACACAAGTACAGCCCCTTAAAAATGAGAGAAAGTAGGACAAGAAGACATAAGTGGTAGCTAGAAATGCAAATACATCTACTAAATGCAAGGATGGTACAGTCAAGTGTAAAGGTACGGTAGTTATCAGGAGCATGCACTAAGCCAACTAATGGAATTCACCAAAAGAAGTTACGCTTGTGGAAGTCACCTCCATCCACAACTTAAGGCCAGATTCTACAAATATTTTGAACATCATAATTGTTAAAGTATAACAACAGGTACAAGACTAGCAATGAGCTAGATCTCACTCCCACATTGACACTGATAGGCAAGTACACCCCTCCCTCTCTCTCTCCCACCCACATTTATTAACCTGAGGGCCACCATCTCTAGTGGTCTTGATGAGGATAGACAGCAAAGGTCCCCCCATTTGTCCTGATGAATTTATCCCCCCCCCTCCCCATCTTCTGCCTTCAAACACAAACCCAATCTACCCCCCATATTTTTTCACTCTCTCCCACCTCCCGAAATCTTCCATCACATCTTACCTCCCCCCCTCCCCTTCCCCTCCACACACTCACTTGCTCTCTCCCATGACTACTGACTATCTTCACTACTTGGGCACTGCCAGGTACCCCATACTAGAAATTTCTAACATTAATCCTGCAGAAAATAATATGCTGGATAAATCTTAGAAAGGTTGAAAGTTACTATCAAGGGGAGCATGGGGGCATAACATAAACCCCCCCTTATGAACATCCACCATTAACCACCAGTCACCCTACAAAGTCTGGACTAGAATGACAGACTAAACAAATGTTTTTTATGATACTGTATATAGTATATATTATAAGAAGTATATATTGTATACTCCATCATCTAAAGGAGTCAATGCTGGATGGCAGGCTGGCAGCTGATATGTGCATTCTAAGATGAAATAAATATACAGGTCCGTCTCGTCGAACCAATCCACAGGGTGGAGGTACCCTCAACCGAATCACTTAGTAACATCACGTATTCAGTGCTGTTATCTACTCCCTATCCATGGTATGGTTAGGTTAAAATTTTATTAGGCTATGTTAAACAGTGAACACATTCACTGTTTAACATAGTAAACAGATTCTCAAACATGAAATATGAAATTTCATTTCATTTCCCTGGTTACCAGCAGACTATTATTAGAACTGTAATATGCTTTTAGACCATCACAAATATTTAGATAACTATCTAGGTGGTCTGAGAGAGCAGTTGGTGTTTCAATCTAATTACTTTATCCTGAGAACAGGCTCCTGAATTTTATCTTTGTTTTCCCCATCTTCCTCCACCTGCATTTAATTTTACCTGAATTTACCTGAGGGGCCACTAATACTAGCTTCCAGTCTTCATCAAGGCCACTAATACTAGTGGCCTTGATGAAGACTGGAAGCCGGCAGCTTGTCAAAGGTCCCCCTCCATTTGCCCTGATAATCTTTTCCAGCTGAATTTTAAAACCCAGCATAGTTTTGGCGTTCAGAGCTTCGGCGGGTAGGTGGTTCCACTGGTTTACAACCTTATGGATGAAAGAACATCTTGTTTTCTGCCCTACATTGTGATTTGTTGAGTTTGAACCCCCTCTTTCTTTTGTCTCCTAATTTCTATATCTTTATTTGAACCCCATTTTTCCTCCTTTTTCCCCCTTAGTACTCTACCTTCTATACTGTATTTTGTAAATTTCCTGTATTCCTTCCTCTCTCCGTCCCCTCCTTCCGTCTCTCCCCATTTATTTCTCTGTATAGCCTCCCTGAGTCTATCCCTTCTCCGTTTTCCTCTCTTGTCTATTTCTTTGATTGTTGTCGTCCAGAAGGCCGCTAGTCTAATGTCTATTCCCTCTCCTGTTTATTCTCCCAGTTCTCCTCCCTCTTCTCTCTCTTTTGCTCCCTCTTCACGAGGTGTAAACACCCGCACACCGGCCCAAGCATCACTTCAAGACCAGGATGCTGTGAATACGTTACCAGGTTATACTGAAGCAAGCAAAATTTTATTAGTCAAGCCAGGCTAGCGTCTCAGTCGTCCCGATCCAAAGTCAAAAGCAAACTGTGGCAGTATGAAGGCAATGTCGATTGATTAATTGATGAAGATTAAATAACCACCACAAGAGATGGCAAAGGTATGAATAGCCTGTAGGTGGTAGATGTTTAGAGTGAATGTGATTTAATTTGTTTAGTTTTGCCGAGAGGGGCGAGTTTATTGGGCAGAGCCACTCACCTGTGAGTGGACATACAAACATAGCAGCATGGACAACACCCCCTAATAGGAAGAAACCCCGCTGGATTGTTCATCCTGTGGTGATTTTTTTTAATTGTTAAATTTTGCCCCGAGGTGCGAGTATGTGAATGTGATCTTTGCTTGTGTAACGTCTTGATGCGTGAGGAGGACAATGTGGCCGGGAACAAGGAGGTATACTCACACAAGGCCCGTAGAGAGCTGCTGGAGGTGGAAGTAGCTGACGTAGAGGGTGGGAGGGGTGAACCTGAAGATGAGGGCGTGGAGCAGGCCATGGTGACTCTCGTACTCCACCTGGAGGGCGAGGAGAACGCCCAGGGGTGGAGTGAAGCCCACCCACGACACCCCGCCTCCGGCCTCCACGAACGTCGGCCTGTTCCGCCACACACGCCGCCATCACACGAGGAATTCATGTAACATGTGTAAATAAACAATAGTTTCCTCACCATAGAAATAAATGGCATTCTGCTTCATAAAGTTAATATTTACACAGCTTTATTACGCCTCTCGGTATATACAATGTTCTGACTTTAGTCTTAAATTTTAATAATAATAATAATAATAATAACAATAATCATAATAATAATAATATTTTTTTACGCAAAAGTGCATTCATACATTCATATACATACATACATATACATACATACATAGGATACAAGAATAATGTAGGATGTACAGGTAGTTTTTTTTTATTAACAGGATAAGGCGAGTACTATGCGTAAAGCCACTAGTTCACACACCGTTTTCCCTGTGATGGAGGAAACAAAACAAAAAACTTAAAAAAGTAAAGACTTAAAACTAATTAAGATCAAAGGCAAAAAATTAACTGTCTTCCTGTCCAGTCTGTCCAGTCAGCAAGGGCCAGTCTTCTTTCTGGGAGACTTCAACGCAAGAGTTGGCTCCGATCACAGCTCTTGGTCTTACTGCCTGGGCCAGTTTGGATTTGGGAAGATGAATGAGAATGGGAAGCACCTCCTGGAGTTCTGCTGTCTCCATGATCTTTGTGTCAATAATTCCTTCTTCGACACCAAGGCCTAGCATAAGGTTTCCTGAAGACACCCCAGGTCTAAGCATTGGCACCAACTCCACCTGGTGCTTACGGGGTGTAGTAATCTGAGAAGCGTCAAACTGACCCTCAGCTTCTAGAGCGCAGATTGTGACACCGACCACTCTCTCGTCGTTTGCTAAGCAAAGTTCTAACCCCGGTAAATCTACAGAGCAAAGAAGGAGGGAAGAACACGTATTAATGTAAACAAGACCCGTGATCCTCACAAGGTGGAGGAGTTCACTACTGCGATGGAAAATGCCCTTCCTGGACCAGCCTGCGATAACGCAAGTGAGAGGTGGTCACACCTCAGGGTCACCATTTTCAACACTGTCATGTCCACCTTCGGTAAGAGGCAGAGCAAATCAACAGACTGGTTCGAGGCCAGTGCAAAGGAACTGTTCCCCTCGTAGACGAAAAAGATACGAGCTCTCTCAGCCTACAAGATCCTGTCCTCAAAAAGGAACATACAGGCCCTCCATACTGCCCGCAGTAGAGTTCAACAAGCTGCAAGGCGCTGTACTAACGATTACTGGCTCCAACTTTGATCCAGACTGCGGCCACCGTCGGCAACATAAGGGGCATGTACGTAAGGGATCAAACAGGCAACAGGCCCTACACAAAACAGGACGGCTCCTCTGAAGTCAGCCATTGGAGAGATCATTAACGATCGTGATCAACAGATGAATCACTGGGTGGAACATCACTCCGAACTCTACTCCAGAGAGAACTTGGTCAGCGTAGAGACCCTGGATGCAATCGAGTGCCAGCCCCCCATGGATAACTTGACCTTGAACCGACTGTGGAAGAAGTTGAGAAAGCACTGAACTCATTTCCTCAGGGAAGTCCCGAGGAGACGACGGGATTCCGCCTGAAGTTCTCAAGTGCGCTCGAGGAACACTTAAAACTGAGCTTCATGAACTTCTGTGCCAGTGCTGGAGGGAGGGCTCGGTGTCACAAGACATGAGAGATGCAAACATCATCACAAAAATAAAGGTGACAGAAGCGATGTCAACAACTATCGCAGCATCTCCCTCCTCAGCGTCGTCGGCAAACTCTTCGCCAGGGTCGTCTTGGTCAAGCTCCAGATTCTTGCTGGAAGAATGTACCCTGAGTCACAGTGCGGTTTCCGAGCAGAGAGATCTACCCCTGACATGGTGTTTTACCCAAATTAACAATTTACCCAAAATTTGCTTGTCCATTTTAAAGAATGAAGAACAATTTTTATTTATATTACTTCTAAGCTGTATCACTTATGAACCCATCCCTGCCCTTGTGCGGCAGTGCACAATAGAAAGTTGTTTTCACGTATCCATACATTAAAACATTGATTGTAACAATGATATATATGTGCTTCAGCCTACAGTTTAGACCTATTGTCTTATGTATGACCCTCTGTCCTGCTTGTTCTTGTTGTTCGAACGTTGTACCAACGTCGTAGTTTCGGTGTGTGTTTGGCGGGAAGAGACCGTATGAAAAGCACTAGCTTGTGTGTAGTGACCCGTGACTGACCTCCCTGGTGCTGGGATGGTGACGTGGCCGTCTTGACCTCTTAGTGTGACGGTGAAGCGAGCGAGGTCACCGCCGCTCCTGACAGCAGCGGGGGTCAGCGCCGTCACCACACTCACTCTGTACTGCTCAGCTGTCACACACACACAATGTATGTTTGTTAATAAATCAATATTTGAAGCTATTCAAATTTGCCAATCAATCCTCCTATTTAAATAGTTGTTTTTGTAACTATATGCACCATAGTACAAACATTGACGTACTAAACAATTAGATAGTAGAATTTGGTACTATTCACTTTATAGTCCGAAACAAGAAGCTAAAAAAGAAACTTAAATATTCCTAGGCCTAGTATAGCACACATATGTACTATATTAGACCTCTGATAGCGTGTATTAGGCCTAGGGAGGTTAGGTTAGTTTAGGTTGTCTTTGCAACATAAATATAAACCTTTTCCAGATTGTACAAATTCAATAGTACATATCTCTACTGTCTAATTGCGTTGTACGTCGCTATATGTACTATGGTCCTCATCGTTACTATAAGTACTGTACTACTAGGAGGATGGGCTGAGATGTATACAAGTAGATACGATGGGTTGTGAACGTACATACATTGATGAAGCAATAACGCTATGCGTGTTAGAGGATTTACAAGAATGTAAGAATTCTTGTATGTAACATAAAAAATGAAGAGACAGCTCACCACAGTAGGGCGGGCGAGGGTTGGTGCCCAGGAACACCTTGACGGAGGGAGCTACTGATGGCTGTCTCTCACCACCACCACCAGCACCACCACCACCACCACCACCAGCACCACCACCACCAGCCTCGCTCCTGCCCGTCTGCCGACCCGCTCCTGACCCCACATCGCCGCTGTTGTTGACATTTGGTGTGTGGACGGTGCTCGGGGAGCCGTGTTCTGCGAGGACATTGGGTGTAGGGTGTGTTTGTGGGTGTATAGGGTGGGCGGTGATGCCCATGGTGGGGCAGTGGGCGTGGTGACACCCCCAGCACGCCCCCGTCTGGTACTCCTCCCACGACCCGCACACAACGCCCACGAACCTACACCTGCAACACATCTCGCGCCATTAAGGAGGTCAAGGATGCTCTTCAACTTTTATATTTATATTGCCTGTTTGAAGAACTATTTCAATCCCCTTATATGGCTTACACGATTATTAACAAATTGAATTAATCAGTTAACATTTGAAACAATTGACATTTCGGTTATATAATAATTTTATTATAGTTGTTCTCGTTCAATGTACATTTTTGTACCTGCATAGAACAGGCTTGTGCCATGTACTCACTCAGGGAGGCTTGACTCAGGGGAAATTTATCCTCGCGTACAACTAGACGGTTGAGGATCTTCACTGTAAACCAGACATGACAAGGCTGATCTCATCGAAACTTGTAAAATACTGAACAGTTTGGAGGATATAGATCCTGACAACTGCTGAATTTTTAAATCTAACTGAATAAAATTATCAGGACAAATGGACCTTAGACAAGCCTCGGGCTTCCTGTCCTAGTCGAGGCCACTACAAATATAGCGGCCCTCGAGTAAACTCAGGTAAACTAATTTAGAAAGGATAGGCTTCTTTAGAGAAGACTGATTTTTTTTAACTTAAAAAAACAATAATTTAGGGAAGATGAACTCATCTCTGACAGGACGACTCATTTATAAATTAAGGTAGATGTACACGCTTCACTTTGGCGTGGATGGACTTACTGTGAGAGGATGGACTCCGTGAAGTAATCAAAAGACCTATGGTGGTTGCAACCGATATAGGTTAGTATCCCCCCGGCAACGGTTCTTTCGTTTTCTATGTAACTGACAGCGGAGCCTTTGCATCCGGCCTGATCCGACCCTCCGTTCGGATAAAAGTCTATGTGTCCGATTGCATCCGGATGGCCCATCTCTGAAATACATGAATGAAGGACTAATAACCGTAGTGCCAGAGATTGCAATTGTATTTGTTTTTAATTCGAGGCACTTGTCCTGCGAGTGAACAGTACATTTCAGCCATATATATTTCGTCCGCAATTGGCGCAATCAACTCCGGCCTTGATGGCATGTAATGATCATTACTGCACACACACACACACAAGCCCCTGTATACGCACTTGCCAGCTGCCAGGCCTCGACGGGGACATCAGTGTGGATGACATCAACAAAGTCAGCGTCGGTGGGGTCGAGTCGCACCTCTGGAGGAGTATTGGTGAAGTAAGGTCCGGCCGGGTCCAGCCCCGTGATGCGCCCCACCTTAACCAACACAAACATTACTTCTCTCTGGATATATTTGATTGTATGAAAGACATATGTTTACATAACTCTGACCAACGCACAACTTGGAGCGGTTGTATACTTTACGAATCTCAAAATAATATATATATATATATATATATATATATATATATATATATATATATATATATATATATATATATATATATATATATATATATATATATATATATATATATATATATATATATATATTATATATATTACACATTTTAATGCTCGTGCCCCAGCGAGGCTCCTTACTCACCCTCTCTCCTCTGGTGATCTTGACGTAGTCTCCAGCGTAGCCCATGAGGTGGGCACCCAGGCTGTGACCCACCAGGTGCACGGAGCCCGGGGCTACACTGTAGTACTCCTGTACGGATGGAACAACACAGGATAGTCAGGCTACGATAGGGGATGATTACGTTCTTATGAAGAAGGGGCTACCGTAGAACTCCAGGCTAAGAGCTACTGTGGAACACCAGATTAACGGGCCCTTGTGGAGGACGTTTATAGCACATTATACAAGACATTTATGATGTTGGTAGAAGGAGAGGATTCAACGAGACTGCTAGACGGAACTGGGGGAGAGGGAGACAGATATACCAACCGCAAGCAGGTGGATAAGATAGCCTGTGATGGCGCCCACCAAGCGGGAGTTAGCAACAGCCTGGGCGTACGGGGGCTGGGCGCCCCTCCACCAGTCCACCGTCACCACGCCCACGCCCTCTGACTCCAGCAGTGACTTCACCATCCGCTGCACCCAGTCCAGACCCCCAGACTCCATGTACCTGTGGCAGGAGGTGGGGTGGAACACATGCCAGTTTTAGAAGAATAATCAGTGAGAATAATTTATAAACATTCAAGCATTATGGTGTCATGAATATTATTTCCCCACAGCGACAGACAGAATTAAAGGTTCGGACACAAACTTAATATTGGGAGCAGTGATCAAAACTCCACAGACAAATTAACGAATATTAACAGATTATAATATTGACCTCTGCCAGTCTGAGTACCCACTAATTGCTAGCTTCCTCACCTGTATGAACTCTTGCATGCTATTATTAACCATGGTCACTAAACCCACCAGAATTACTCAAACAACTGCTGCCACTCTTGACCACATTTGGATAAACATAACCTGCTCGACCCTTGAGGTTATCTTGAGATAATTTCGGGGCTTAGCGTCCCCGCGGCCCGGTCCTCGACCAGGCCTCCTTTTTGTCACACATCCCCAGGAAGTAGCCTCTAGCAGCTGTCTAACTCCCAGGTACCTATTTACTGCTAGGTAACAAGAGCATTAGGGTAAAAGAAGCTCTGCCCATTTGTTTCCGCCTCCACCAGGGATCGAACCCGGAACCTCAAGACTACGAAACTGAAGTGCTGTCCACTCAGCTGCCAGACCCTCCGTAATAATCACTGATGGTACAACACACCACCACCAGACTTTTCCTACAACTAGGAGTAGCAAACCACCGATATAAACACCCTTCAATATGCAACTTTGCTGGTAACAAACTTGGAGACTGAATGATGACCAGACCACGTACTAGAAGGTGAAGGGACGACGACGTTTCGGTCCGTCCTGGACCATTCTCAAGTCGATTGACTTGAGAACTCTTGGAGACTGAACTCTGTAATATGGCCAATATCAACCTCAGAGTACAAACATTTCTTTACAAGCCTCCATAATGCTCGCTCCTCCTCGCTGACTAAACAAGTTACAATCACAGGGAGTAGTGCCCTATGGCTCACGACAGAAATACTTAAAAATAATGAACAAAAATCATAAATATAAGAAGAAATACAGGATAGGGGCTATCCCCGGCGAGACAGAACTGGTTAGGTCCGTTTCCTATCACCTAATGCACCTGTTCACCGAGCAGGATATAGGTACGTCTAGGAGTTAGTACTCACCTAGTTGTGCTTGCGGGAGTTGAGCTCTGGCTCTTTGGTCCCTCCAGAGTCTTAGGCAGCTTATTGTGGGGTTGCATCACGTCTAACATTATTATATATATCTATATATATATATATATATATATATATATATATATATATATATATATATATATATATATATATATATATATATGTTAAATATGACCGAAAGGGTAAGATTAATAATTCTAACACGAATCTTCTCAATATTTATTACTCTTTTCTTCACTGTCGAGGATAATTGAAAAATTAACTCTCCAAAATTCATTTTTAACATTTTTATTTTTGGTCTGACGCCTAAAAGCGTTTCGTAACGGCTTCTTATATTCTCAAAGACTGCTTTACACATAACAAAAATCATGCTTATATGCGTTTTGGGCGAGGTGAAATGACAAAAATGTTTTCGGTGAGGTGGGTATGAAAACATAAGAATGAAAGTAACTACAGAAGGCCTATTGGCCCATACTTTCTCTTGCTGCTTCTGTGTTGGTTCGGGGTCTTGAAGTGGACAGAATATAGTTATGCGTTAATTGGCTGTTGATTGCTGGTGTTGACTTTTTGGTGTGTAGTGCCTCGCTGATGTCGAGTCTCCTGCTATCGCTGTATCTATCGATGATTTTTGTGTTGCTTGTTAAGATTTCTCTGGTGATGGTCTGGTTGTGAGAGGAGATTATATGTTCCTTGATGGAGCTCTGTTGTTTGAGCATTGTTAATTGCCTAGAAAGAGACGTTGTTGTCTTGCCTATATACTGAGTTCTTTGGGCTGACAGTCCCCAAGTGGGCATGTGAAGGCATAGACGACGTTGGTTTCCTTCAAGGCGTTCTGTTTGGTGTCTGGCGAGTTTTTCATGAGTAGGTTGGCCGCTTTTTTGGTTTTTGTAGTAAATTTGTAATAATACCACAAAAAAATGGCCAACCTACTTGTGGTCGATCTCGAACCCATTGATGATGTGACGACTTGTACTGAATTTTGTAACTAGCTCATCAAGATTGTAACTTGCTTAGTTAAATGAATTGTGGGGTTCAGTCCCTGAGCCCATTATGTGCCTCTGTAACCCATTCCACTACCGCCCACACCATGGGTATGGGGTGCATAATAAATGAACTAAACTAAACTACTCATGTGTAACGGGGGGGGGGAATAGCTCTCTTATGTCCATTATTCCGCCCCTACTTAACTATTCTAGAGTTCCCCAGAGCCCCTACTGCAGCCTCTCTAGTTCAACACCTTGTAGTCTAGGTATGTGATTGCCTAGGTGCTACACCCACAAGGCATTGTACCTTGATCAGCTACCCGCAACACCCTTTAGTCCTGCCATTATTGTCATGATTTACACAGCTGTACACCCTTTAGTCCTGCCATTATTGTCATGATTTACACAGCTGTACACCCTTTAGTCCAGCCATTATTGTCATGATTTACACAGCTGTACACCCTTTAGTCCTGCCATTATTGTCATGATTTACACAGCTGTACACCCTTTAGTCCTGCCATTATTGTCATGATTTACACAGCTGTACACCTTTTAGTCCTGCCATTATTGACATGATTTACACAGCTGTACACCCTTTAGTCCTGCCATTATTGTCATGATTTACACAGCTGTACACCCTTTAGTCCTGCCATTATTATCATAATTTACACAGCTTAATTTTAATTCACTCAAAATTACTTACTTTTATAGTTACTAAAGATCTCATGAACAATACATAAATGTTAACTTCTCGTTTAGTATCAAGTATTACTCCATTATACATCTAAATAAATGCCCTAACAATGCTTACCTTATGCTGGAAACTCTACACATTAATGCTTCAGTGTTTACCTACGACTTCTCTATAGTACAATGTATCACTTGTTTATTTGTATAGCAATATTATTAACCTTTGGACTGTTTAGGAGAGGTCCTTGTTTAGGTGGGTGAGGGGGGAGTGAGGGAGGAATTTTTAGTGGGCACTTGGCACTTGGTAAGTGTGGTGGAGTGGCCGGCCGGGGAGCGTGGGGAGGGATGGGGAGGGCCGGGGAGCATGGGGAGGGCCGGGGAGCATGGGGAGGGATGGTGGTGGGCCGGGGAGCATGGAGAGGGATGGTGGTGGGCCGGGGAGCATGGGGGAGGGATGGGGAGGGCCGGGGAGCATGGGGAGGGATGGTGGTGGGCCGGGGAGCATGGAGAGGGATGGTGGTGGGCCGGGGAGCATGGGGATGGCCGGGGAGCATGGGGAGGGCCGGGGAGCATGGGGAGGGATGGGGACGGGCCGGGGAGCATGGGGAGGGCCGGGGAGCATGGGGAGGGATGGGGAGGGCCGGGGAGCATGGGGAGGAATGGTGGCGGGCCGGGGAGCATGGGGAGGGATGGGGACGGGCCGGGGAGCATGGGGAGGGATGGGGACGGGCCGGGGAGCATGGAGAGGGATGGGGACGGGCCGGGGACCATGGAGAGGGATGGGGACGGGCCGGGGAGTATGGAGAGGGATGGGGACGGGCCGGGGAGCATGGGGAGGAATGGGGACGGGCCGGAGAGCATGGGGATGGGCCAGGGAGCATGGGGACGGGCCGGGGAGCATGGGGACGGGCCGGGGAGCATGGGGACGGGCCGGGGAGCATGGGGAGGGATGGGGACGGGCCGGGGTAGGAGGAGGCCGCGGCTGAAGGACATGCTTGTGCTGTGAGCTCACTTGTATTATGGCGAGTCTCAGGCATGTGCCCGCGCCACCCGCACTACACCCCATCACCCCATCTCTCCCCGTCACCACACCCCATCACCCCATCTCTCCCCGTCACCACACCCCATCACCCCATCTCTCCCCGTCACCACACCCCATCACCCCATCTCTCCCCGTCACCACACCCCATCACCCCATCTCTCCCCGTCACCACACCCCATCACCCTCCCGCTCTACCCATCACCACACCACACACACACCATCACCCCCGCTCACCCCATCACCAGTTGGGAAGAGAGGCAGGACCAAAGAGTCAAAGCTCAACCCCCGCAAGCACAATTAGGTGAGTACAATTCGGTGAGTACACAATTAAGGTTATGGCTACTAAAGTTCAACCAGGAAACTGTAAAGTAATGAAATTAGGTGAAGGGAGCAGGAGGCTGAACACAAGGTACCATCTGGGAGGCGATATCCCGCAAGAGTCAAATAGAGAGAAAGATCTAGGGGGTTGCTATCACACCGAACCTATCCCCAGAGGACCACATCAAAAGGATATCATCAGCGGCATATGCTAAACTGGTCAACATAAGAACTGCCTTTTGAAACTTGAGTAAGGAATCGTTCAGGACCCTGAATACCACTTATGTCAGACTGGAATCTTATGTTAATCCTGGAATATGCAGCTCCAGCTTGGAGTCCATACGTAGTTAAACACAAGACAACGTTAGAGAAGATTCAGAGGTATGCCAACAGACTGGTGCCAGAACTGAGAGGTATGAGTTACGGGGAAAGGTTACGGGCGCTTAAACTCACGTCCCTGGAAGACAAAAGAATAAGGGGAGACATGATCATCACCTACAAAATTCTCAGAGAAATTGACAGGGTAGATAAGGATAACCTGTTTAACACTGGTGGTACGCGAACAAGGGGACACAGGTGGAAACTGAGTACCCACATGAGCCACAGGGACGTTAGAAAGAACTTTTTCAGTGTCAGAGTAGTTAACAGGTGGAATGCATTAGGCAGTAATGTGGTGGAGGCTGACTCCATACACAGTTTTAAGTGTAGATATGATAGAGCCTAGTAGGCTCAGGAACCTGTACACCAGTTGATTGACGGTTGAGAGGCGGGACCAAAGAGCCAGAGCTCAACCCCCGCAAGCACAACTAGGTGAGTATACACACACACACACACACACACACACACACGTCACAAAATTAGAGTTGTAACAAATGAGGATTGCAGGATCCTCCAAGAGACCTTGAACAGGTTGCAAAGATGGTCAAAGAAATGGCTACTGGATTTCAACACGAGCAAATGTCAAATTATGGAAATGGGACTAGGAGATAGGAGACCAAAGGGACAGTACACAATGAAGGGGAACAGCCTACCTGAGACGACGCGTGAAAGAGACCTGGGGGTGGACGTAACACCTAATCTATCTCCTGAGGCACATATAAATAGGATAACGACAGCAGCGTACTCTACACTAGCAAAAGTTACAACATTATTCAGAAACCTAAATAAGGAGGCCTTTAAGGCGCTTTACACTGCCTACGTGAGACCAGTCTTAGAGTATGCAGCCCCATCATGGAGTCCCCAACTGAAGAAACACATAAGGAAACACAGAACAGTGCTGCAGCTGTGTCTGGGTGCTGGGGGAACAGTCCTCCAGCTGTGTCTGGGTGCTGGGGGAACAGTCCTCCAGCTGTGTCTGGGTGCTGGGGGAACAGTTCTCCAGCTGTGTCTGGGTGCTGGGGGAACAGTCCTCCAGCTGTGTCTGGGTGCTGGGAGAACAGTCCTCCAGCTGTGTCTGGGTGCTGGGGAACAGTTCTCCAGCTGTGTCTGGGTGCTGGGGGAACAGTCCTCCAGCTGTGTCTGGGTGCTGGGAGAACAGCCCTGCAGCTGTGTCTGGGTGCTGGGAGAACAGCCCTGCAGCTGTGTCTGGGTGCTGGGAGAACAGTCCTCCAGCTGTGTCTGGGTGCTGGGAGAACAGTCCTCCAGCTGTGTCTGGGTGCTGGGAGAACAGTCCTCCAGCTGTGTCTGGGTGCTGGGGAACAGTCCTCCAGCTGTGTCTGGGTGCTGGGGGAACAGCCCTGCAGCTGTGTCTGGCTGCTGGGGGAACAGTCCTCCAGCTGTGTCTGGGTGCTGGGGGAACAGTCCTCCAGCTGTGTCTGGGTGCTGGGGGAACAGCCCTGCAGCTGTGTCTGGGTGCTGGGGGAACAGTCCTCCAGCTGTCTGGGTGCTGGGGGAACAGTCCTCCAGCTGTGTCTGGGTGCTGGGGGAACAGCTCCGCGGGTATTCTTCCTATACTAGGGGGGGAGGAGGTATGCTGTGTATGCTGGTATATGTTTACTCGCAGGACGAGTGACGCTGCGCAATACACTCGCCCTATGGCGCGAGAATTTAAATTCTTAGTCATCCAGGGTGGCGCTCTTAAGAGCAACACCCGGGACGCTCTTAAGAGTCCATTTACTTATCATAGTAAATTCATTACAGATTATAATGTATTTCATCATGTCAGCTGATGGCGTGTTTGCCAGATTATTGTCTGGCATTAGGGGCGCGCGCCATCATAGGGTCGGGAGTGGCGCCGGGAAATGAAGGTGCCACTGTGTGATCGCGTATTACGTAAGTGTCGGTTCGATTCCCCCCGCAGCACGTGCCGATGAGAGGGTGGAGATATATACCCCCACGCTGGCTCCCACACCCCCCCTCTCTCTCTCTCTCCTACCCGTCGACTGGCGCCATGTTGTACCTCCTCCTGTCTGTCTCTGCTAACCTGAGGTCGTCTGTCTACCGTCTCTCTCTGTACCCTTGTTCCACCATCTCTTCTCCTTGACCCATGAGTGAGGTACTGACCCATGAGTGAGGTACTGACCCATGAGTAACGAGGAGGAGCGGTGCTTCAGCGTCGAGACAGGAGTGGTGGATTGTAGCCAAATCCGTCACATTCAGAGCCTGTAGGCGGAAAGAAAACATCACAAAATCAGTAGTAATTCTAATGTATCCTGGGGCTTGAGGGCTGCTTGGTCTGGTCTTAAAGCTGGCATGGGTTTATATTTATGAGAGGGAGGGAACTTTTAGGAGAAAGGCACCTCCACTATGCATATATCCACAATATATAATAATATTATACCGCCAAGTCGACTATATAGCACTGGGAAGGGGTCAGGATAAGGATTTGGGATGGGACGGAGGAAAGGAATGGTGCCCAACCACTTGGACGGTCGGGTATTGAACGCCGACCTGCATGACGCGAGACCGTCGCTCTACCGTCCAGCCCAAGTGGTTGGTCTTATATCTGTAAGAAAGAATGAAAACTTTTAAGTGCGATCAAATGAAACACGAACACCTATGACAAATGGAACACGAACACCTATGACAAATGAAACACGAACTCCTATGACAAATGGAACACGAACACCTATGACAAATGGAACACGAACACCTATGACAAATGAAACACGAACACCTATGACAAATGGAACACGAACACCTATGACAAATGGAACACGAACACCTATGACAAATGAAACACGAACACCTATGACAAATGGAACACGAACACCTATGACAAATGGAACACGAACACCTATGACAAATGGAACACGAACACCTATGACAAATGGAACACGAACACCTATGACAAATGGAACACGAACACCCACGACAAAACTGGCCGTGTCCCCCCACGACCTCCTCTGGCAGCATCCACCTGCTAAAGTAGTCTACATCACACCAAATACTAACCTAACCTAACCACATATCGCACCTCCCAATTTAAATATAACAACTAAAATCACAAGTCTATTATATACGTACAATAAATATATTTCTTTCAAAATTCTGTACTAACGGAAATCTTACCCAAATATCTCAAATTTGTTCAGTGCAGGTATTCAGCTACTGGGAACAAAAAGTTCCAAGTAGCACGGGCTATGGTGAGCCCGTAGTGGCCTTACCTGGCACAGGAGCAGGGCTGTAACGGGTAGGTGTGGGGGCTTTATGGTCAGTAAATATGTATCCGACTCACCACACATGTAAACTATCTGGGACCAGATTCACGAAGCAGTTACGCAAGCACTTACGAACCTGTCCATCTTTCCTCAATCTTTGGCGGCTTTGTTTACAATTATTAAACAGTTAATGAGTTCCGAAGCACCAGGAGGCTGTTTATAACAATAACAACAGTTGATTATGAAGTTTGCATGCTTGTAAACTATTTAATAAATGTAAACAAAGCCGTCAAAGTTTTAGGAAAGATGTACACGTTCGTAAGTACTTGCGTAACGGCTTCGTGAATCTGGCCCCTGGTCAGCGTGTCTGGTAAGTTAATAAGGGATTCCGTCTTCAGCGGAACGTTTGACTCGTATTCATAAACAATTTTCGGGTCTAGTTTCCCGACGATATCTTCAAACGGCGGACTACAGTGATTTAAAACACCAATCATTTGTCTGTGAATATGAGATAACGTTTAGAGATAATACTTACAAAAGTGGAAATGTAAGTAATCGCTATTTCATATAATTCATGGTTTGATGTTTGGCTCAAGTCCTATGATTGATTGATTGATTGATTGATGAAGATTCGTGCCCGTGTCACCCAAGAGGTGGCACGGGCATGAATAGCCCGTAAAGTCCTTGTCTATAAAGTCCTATGAGCCGCGGGAGGGTTATTAAGTCCACCACAATAGCTTACTCACCAGCCAGTAAGTACACTTTGGCCCCCCGAGCCATGCGCACGGCTAAAATATAGTGTGTAATTAGGTATTTTATCCTTACGAGAACGCGTTTCTTCTACAGATGGTAACTATCTCTTTGACAGTGGACCAGCCTTGACAGTGGACCAGCCTTGACAGCGGACCAGCCTTGACAGCGGACCAGCCTTGACAGCGGACCAGCCTTGACAGCTTTGACAGTACACAGGGACGTGAGTGTACCGACTGACCTCCACCTCACTAGAGCTTGACCTAATTATCTCGATAAAAGTGACTATCGAAGCGTGTCATCAAAACATAGGGACGAAGGGGTCACGGCGCGCGTGTACACATACATGTGTGTGTGTACACATGTGCGTGTACACAAACATGTGTGTACACATACATGCGTGTACACAAACATGTATCCTGTCCTCATAAGTGGAGCATTTTGCTCACGACTCACAACTGACTGTGTTCGAACTTTTTGAAACAGTGCTTCACTCTTCCTGTATTCTGTCCTCATAAAGCCCGTCCTCATAAACAAATACCCAAAAGTGATTCCATGCACCCGCCAAACCCCCTGTTATGAATGAAAAACTGTTTACACACGACTCACAACTGAGTTTGTGAGTCCGAATGTGAGTCGACTCACGACTCACATTCGAACACTTCCGGAACAAGTGCTTCACTGACGAATTGTGTTCGAACCACAACGCTGTAAATGCTTCACCCACGTACTACAAATACAAATAATCGCCAACAGAACCTAAACACCTAACCTAACCTATGCCTATATATGCACAATATGTTAATATTCTATAATATTAATTTATATTTTGAGAAAATTCTCGTTTTGAATGAACAGAATGTAAATATTTATGAATACGTCTGTGGAGTCGACCGCTGGATGGAATGGACTTGAGTCGAGGACGGGTTGGTACTTTGAGTCCAGCCTGTACTGTAAACACTCCGTGATTCACCCTAACCACAACACCTTACCTAACCTTTCCTAGGCCTAACAATGCATAAGTAGGCATACATCAGTCTCAGGTTTACGGGCTCACCATAGCCCGTGCTACATGGTCACTTCGTTCTGAGTAGCTAAATCTGAAACAACAACAGTCTCAGGAGACTATGGAGTTGGGCTCTGGTTGTCGGTCTGGAGTGGCCTCTCCAGGGCGCAAAGCCAGGGTAGGGTGATACGGGGGAGAAGCTGTTACTCATGCAGCAGGTCCCTCCCCCCTCTCCACTATGCATATATCCACAATATATAATAATATTATACCGTTAAAAGATTTAGCCCGCTAGTTGGTCGCTACATGAATAAGTTACTAGTGACTAATTAACATAGGCCAGTGTTACCCAGTCCCCCTGCAAAGTTTGGTGAGGCTAGCCCAAGGCGTCTGACCCCCAACCTTGAGCAGAGAAACATTCTGCTTTTCATTTCAGTGGGTGATCTGTGAGGTTCAAGTGGGAATATACTGCAAGAATATTAATGTAGGTGGTAATGGTGTCCCAGAAATCACATAATGTCTGTAGATTAAGAGATAAATGAAAAAAGTTATGTATTGCTGATGTATATGTTATACTTAAGGATACACAGAAATATACAGGATAGACTCATCCTGTATATCCTGCCTCAACCCATGAGACAGGATAAATGATGACCTTTTACATGAGAGAGATTAATTAGCTGTTTGGTGAGAGAAGTGTGCTTAGCGTGTGTACTCACCTACTTGTGCGTACCACCCGTGTTAAAGAGTTTATCTTTATCTACCCCTGTCAATTCCTCTGAGAATTTTGAAGGTAGTGATTATGTCTCCCCTTACTCTTCTGTCTTCCAGTGTCATGAAATGCATTTCACGCAGCCTTTCCTCATAACTCATGCCTCTTAGTTCTGGGACTAGCCTAGTGGCATACCTCTGAACTTTTTCCAGCTTCGCCTTGTGCTTGACAAGGTACGGGCTCCATGGTGAGGCCGCATACTCCAGGATTGGTCTTACATATGCGGTATACAAGGTTCTGAATGATTCCTTACACAGGTCCCTGAAGGCTGTTCTGATGTTAGCCAGCTTCGCATACGCCGCAGATGTTATTCTCTTGATGTGGGCTTCAGGAGACAGGTTTGGTGTGATATCAACTCCTAGATCTTTCTCTTTGTCCGTTTCATGAAGGACTTCATCTCCCATTCTGTATCCTGTGTCTGGCCTGTTTCCACCGCCTAGGTTCATTACCTTGCATTTATTCGGGTTGAATTGTAGTAGCCATTTGTTGGATCATTCATTCAGTCTGTCTAGGTCATCTTGTAGCCTCATACTATCTTCCTCCGTCTTAATCTTCATCATAATTTTTGCATCATCAGCAAACAATGAGAGGAATGATTTTATACCCTCTGGGAGATCATTTATATATATCAGAAACAGTATAGGTCCAAAAACTGAACCCTGCGGGACTCCACTTGTGACGTCTCGCCAGTCTGAGGCCTCACCCCTCACAGTGACTCACTGTCTTCTGTTACTTAGGTACTCCCTTATCGAATGGAGTACCTTTCCTCTCATTCCTACCTGCATCTCCAGCTTTCGCACTAGTGGTACTGATGTGGTACTGTGTCAAAGGCTTTCTGGCAAAAATATGCAGTCTGCCCACCCCTCTCTTTCCTGCCTGATTCTTGTTGCCTGATCGTAGAATTCAATTAATCCTGTGAGACATGACTTACAATCCCTGAACCCATGTTGGTATTACGTCACAAAGTTCCTTCGCTCCAGATGTTCCACTAGCTTTTTTCGCACAATTTTGTCCAATAACTTGCATGGTATGCAAGTTAGGGACACTGGCTTGTAGTTCAGTGCCTCCTGTCTATCCCTTTCTTGTATATTGGGACTACATTTGCCGTCTTCCAAATTTCTGGCAGTTCACCTGTTACCAGTGATTTGTTATACATCATGGAGAGTGGCAGGCACAGTGCTTCTGCTCCTTCCTTTAGTATCCATGGCGATATTCCATCCAGGCCTATAGCCTTTGTCACATCCAACTTTAGAAAAAGCTTCCTTACATCCCCACTGGTAATCTCAAATTCCTCTAGTGGCGCCTGGTTAACTATTCTTTCTCTTATCTCTGGAACGTCTCTTTGCTCTAATGTGAAGATTTCCTAGAATTTCTTATTGAGTTCCTCGCACACTTCTTTGTCGTTTATAGTGAATTTGTCTGCCCCTATCCTCAGTTTCATCACCTGTTCTTTCACTGTTGTCTGTCTCCTGAT